TGACAGATTAGGGCCCTTTAATTATGAGAGATTGGGGACCTTTAATGATGAGAGATTGGGGCCCTTTAATGACGACAGATTAGGGCCCTTTAATGATGAGAGATTAGGGCCCTTTAATGATGACAGATTAGGGCCCTTTAATGATGACAGATTAGGGCCCTTTAATTATGAGAGATTGGGGACCTTTAATGATGACAGATTAGGGCCCTTTAAAGACAGATTAGGGCCCTTTAATGATGACAGATTAGGGCCCTTTAATGATGACAGATTGGGGCCCTTTAATGATGACAGATTAGGGCCCTTTAATGATGACAGATTGGGGCCCTTTAATGATGACAGATTAGGGCCCTTTAATGATGAGAGATTAGGGCCCTTTAATGATGACGGATTGGGGCCCTTTAATGATGAAAGATTAGGGCCCTTTAAAGACAGATTAGGGCCCTCTAATGATGACGGATTGGGGCCCTTTAATTATGACGGATTAGGGCCCTTTAATGATGACGAATTAAGGCCCTTTAATGATGACAGATTAGGGCCCTTTAATGATGACAGATTGGGGCCCTTTAATTATGACAGATTGGGGCCCTTTAATAATGATAGATTAGGGCCCTTTAATGATGACAGATTAGGGCCCTTTAATGACAGATCAGGGCCCTTTAAAGACAGATTAGGGCCCTTTAATGACAGATCAGGGCCCTTTAAAGACAGATTAGGGCCCTTCAATAACAGATTAGGGCCCTTTAAAGACAGATTAGGGCCCTTCAATAACAGATTAGGGCCTTTTAAAGACAGATTAGGGCCCTTTAATGATAACTGGACATAAAAAAAATTACATATTTCTACTTTAGTCTCCTGAAACCCTGCGACCTCATACGAGGACATTACATTTTTGCCTCTTGGCACAATGATACTCAATTTTTTACATCCTTGACCTGATGGCCACATTTAGGGACACTGCCCGCGCCATCTTGTGGTGATATGATAGAATTACACTTAAGGCAGTAGGAAAAAAATGGTGGGAATATCAGCAAAAGACTTCTACAAGAGTTTACAGAAGAAAAATGCCCCAGGTAAAAATTCTATCAACATTTTATGAATGAAATCAATTTATTTATGCACAATAATGTCTCTAGCTTCATATGGAGTTTGAAATTTGACACATTTTGATTGTAGTTGCAAGCTAGGATGTCAGTAAAAGTAAAGCACTCGTTTGAGGACGCTAGGACTATGTACCGCTATCTGTTTAGCTAACCGAGTGGAAGATTTAGATAAAGTTACAGTTGTAAATAGTTATTTTGAATCACATATTTGCTTAGTTATGTGGTTTACAGTTGTAAATAGTATATTTAAGTACTAAGTGGTATATGCTAAGTATTGTTTAGTGTTGCTAAATGCTAAATCATAAACAATATAGCTAGGCTATAGCTAGCACATGATAGCCAAGCTATGATGTGTCACTGATATACTGTAGATTTTGATGTTGGTTTTTAACATTATCATTACAGGCACACTTTCATTATCAAGAGCAGAACAATTGCTGTTGGCAATTGCAGACAACTCTGAGATAGAGGACTTCTCAGATGGGGATGATTGTATCATCATCTCATACCTGTCAGTCATCTTCTGGTGTTTCCCACGGGGAGAGGCGGCGAGCTGAGGTGGCCATACTCATTGCCCCCCATCTCAGCCGCCATGTGTTGGAGTTCTCCCCGGTGAATGAGAGGGTCGCGTCCCTCCGCCTCCGGGTGGGACAAGTCTCTCATTGTTGTGACGGCCTACGGGCCTAACGGCAGTGCCGAGTTCCTGCCTTCTTGGAGTCCTTGGGAGGGGTACTGGACAGTGCACCGCCCGGGGACTCCGTTATTCTCCTTCCCCATGTGGGAAATGCAAGTGACACTTGGAGAGGGGTGATCGGGAAGAACGGCCCCCCTGATCTGAACCCGAGCGGTGTTCAGTTGTTGGACTTCTGTGCCAGTCACAGTTTGTCCATCACGAACACCATGTTCGAGCACAAGGGTGTCCACCAGGACACCCTAGGCCGGAGGTTAATGATCGACTTTGTTGTCGTATCATCTGACCTTCGACCGCGTGTCTCGGACACTCGGGTGAAGAGAGGGGCGGAGCTGTCAACCGATCATCACCTGGTTGTGAGTTGGATCCGCTGGCAGGGGAAGAAGCCGGTCAGACCTGGCAGACCCAAGCGTGTAGTGAGGGTCTGCTGGGAACGTCTCGCTGAGCCCCCTGTCAGACGGACTTTCAACTCACACCTGCGGGAGAGCTTCTCCCAGGACCCAGAGGAGGGGGACATTGAGTCCGAGTGGACCATGTTCTCTTCCTCTATCGCCAATAAAGCGGCTTGTAGCTGTGGTCGCAAGGTCTCTGGTGCTGGTCCCGGCGGCAATCCCCGAACCCGGTGGTGGACACCGGCAGTAAGGGATGCCGTCAGGCTGAAGAAGGAGTCCTATCGAGCAATGATGGTTCGTGGGACTCCTGAGGCAGCTGTCCAGTACCGGCAGGCCAAGCGTGCCTCGGCCCGGGCTGTTGCAGAGGCAAAAACCCGGGACTGGGAGGAGTTCGGAGAGTCCATGGAGCATGACTATCGGTCGGCCTCAAAAAGGTTATGGCAAACCCTCCGGCGCCTCAGGAGGGGGAAGCAGTGCTTTGCCAACACCGTGTATGGTGCGGGTGGAGAGCTGCTGACCTCGACTGGGGATATTGTAACCCTAACCCGGAGATGGTAGCCTTGAAAAACCCCATGCGTTGCAGAGCACAAGACTGCATTGGAAAATCCTGTGTCCGATGCATGACATGCAATGTGTACCTGTGCTTGCAAAGTGAACGCAACTGCTTTGCAGCATTTCACACTTGCCAATAGGGCTCTTCCAAACAGGCAGACAGATTGCTTTGTAGAAAAAGAGAGGGAGCTAGTTTGAAAAAAGCCCCGATTCATAAGCTGTTAATAATATTTGCCATTATTTGTTCTAGTATTGTATTTATCAATTCAATTCAGCCATATTGAAGGCTTGAAATAGACAGTTTACACAGTATTTTGCGGTTTTATTTATGTGTAGCCAATTTTTTGTCATGTGGATGAATGAAGAAAAAGGGAACCCAAATTGCAGGACTGAAAATCAAAGTAATTTAATAAAATAAATCCAAGGTAATGTAAAAACAGAACTGAAGACAGGACAAACGTTGTGGAGACAATGGACGGACAACAAGAGAGGAAGGGCACAGGGTATATATACACACAGGTGAATCACATTAGGGCGGGGCAACAATCAACAGGACAGGCAGGATTCAAACTCAACCAGGTCAAAATGTCCACACCATGACATTTTTAGGCTTTGAAGATAGAGCTGTTTGGATTTTATGTCTTTAAACTTTGATGTTTACATTTTTCAAATAAACTGTTATATACTATTTTAGACCAATGGAGTCTATTTGTATTGTATAGTAAGGTCGACCCACTGTCCTCATGTGAGGACAATGATTTTTGAGAGAAGTACTAATTGGATCAAGCTGAAATTTTGAATTTCAACTAATTAGGACCTTCCGGCCTAAAAGAGCATACATTTTCTCTTTAGGTTATGAGAGACCCACTGTCCTCATACGAGGACATGTTTTTTCTCAAAAACTACTTCCTGTACAAAATCACAATTTAGATATTATACTTATTGGGTCCTACTTATCCTAAATAGCAAAAAAATATATAAAATGCACACCAGACAAATGCTCGGGTCTCAGGAGGTTAATGCGACTGCACTGTTCCTTGTGCCAGTTTTACCGTCGGTAATGAAGCAAAAACCATACATGGTGTCTCCATTTCAGGTCTCTTCACTGACTCCCAAACTTCTCAATGAATGAAACACATTTTAGTCCTTCAGGTTTCGTTCCCTCGCTCTCACTGAAGCCCTGCGTTTGTATTTGCATGTTCTCTTCGTGCGTTCATATCTCTGCGATTCCAATCTTTGGTAGCAGCTCTTAATGCCCCTACTGTGTGCTCCTGCGTGTGTTTACTCTGCAGACTCTCAGAACGCTTCTCAAGTAACCCAAATATTTCAAGACCCATAAATCTTGCATAAATACTGAGTTTTATGATGTGGTCGACGCTGTGCAGAGTTTATGTTTTCGTTGTTTGGATTCTGTGTTTGCCCAAAAAACCTGGTGCTTGTTCAGTCTCTGGTCTGTGAAAAGATGGGGTGAAAAGACTTCCGTGATGTAAAAAGATGGAGTCGACGGTGGTTAGGGGCCCACGGGGGGAGGGCCCGGCTTCAGGAGGCTTGTTAAAGGGGTCTCAGAGCGGGGTGCAGTCTAGCGCAGTGTCATGGAAGGGTGAGGTTAACGGCTGCGGCGAGGTGGAGGGTCCGATTCCCCCGGGTGTGTCTGCAGAGGTCGGTAGTGTAGCGTTAAAGGGGATCTCTCTCTGCAGATGGGCGGCTTCGGATCAGTGTGAAAAGGCTGAGAATATGTTGGAATCTTCACACGACAAAACCTACACTTTGTGCCACGTTTATTTATCAAAATAATGATCAAAAAGGAATCAGTCAATATTTGTTTTATAACATGTACAAGTGTATAGAGAAAAACGCCAGACTCTGAGGAGCACAGGGACTGGCCTCCTGCTGGGACTCTGAGGAGCACAGGGACTGGCCTCCTGCTGGGACTCTGAGGAGCACAGGGACTGGCCTCCTGCTGGGACTCTGAGGAGCACAGGGACTGGCCTCCTGCTGAGAGTCACAGTCAGAACTAAACATGGAGAGGCAGCATTTCAGATTCATGCAGCTAAAATCTGGAAAAGTCTTCCTGAAAATGTGAGACAGGCTTCTTCTCTGACAATGTTCAACTCCAGGTTAAAAACAGCTGCAAACAACTGAAGGATGAAATGTGCTATACAGTTAAACTCGCCTTTCCACATTATGTTTCTCAGTGTATCTACCTGACAAACCAGCACAAAGATCCTCCAAACCACTTCTTTCCTCTGTACCTTTCCTCTGTACCTTTGCTCTGTACCTTTGCTCAGTGCTTCTGTCCAGCAGCGGTAGTGTCCCCCGGGTGGCGTGTGTCGGACCACAGTGAAACCGAGACGTCCTCCTTTCTCTGTTTGATCCGGGCACATGTGGTAGTGGTCAGGCCGGGGCGGAGAGAGAGCGCTCCAGACCCAGGAGTCCCAACACCCGGTCCCTAACTGCCCCCCCCCCCCCCCACATACCCCCCCACCCCCCACATACCCCCCCACCCCCAACCCCCGCCCTCCAGCTCACAGGGACGAGGGCAAATGGCGAGGAGCGGGAGAGAAGTGTAATGGCGGCGTTTAGAGACACCTGAGACGGCTAATCTAAATAATGCTGCTATTTGGGAGGAGCAGAGAGAATACAGCGGCAGAACAGCACCACATGTTGGGAAACGATTGAGACGTAAACAGCAGCGGCGGAAAATATGTTCAATGCTCTCTCTCCCTGTCTGTCTCTCTCTCTCTTGGTCTCAATCTCTGTCTCAATCTCTGTCTCTCTTTCACTCTCCCTGTCTGTCTCTCTCTCTCGGTCTCAATCTCTGTCTCTCTGTGTCCCTCTCCATCTCTCAAGCTATCTTTCTCTGTCTCTCTCTCTCTGTGTCCCTCTCCATCTCTCAAGCTATCTTTCTCTGTCTCTCTCTCTCTGTGTCTCTCTCTGTCTCTCTCTCTATCTCCCTCTGTCTCTCTCTCTCTATCTTTCTCTCGCGCTCTCTCTGTCTCTCTTTCACTCTCTCCATCTCTCAAGCTATCTTTCTCTGTCTCTTTCTCTCTCTGTGTGTGTCTCTCTCTCTCTCTGTGTCCCTCTGTCTCTCTCTCGCACTCTCTCTGTCTCAATCTCTGTCTCTCTTTCACTCTCTCTGTCTTTCTCCATCTCAAGCTATCTTTCTCAGTCTTTCTCTCTGTCTCTCTCTCTCACTCTGTCTCTCCCCCTGCAGTAGTATGTTTACATTTGTACATGTTTGCAGCATGAGGCCTGGGACAGTGACACGTGTGGTTCTATTCCCACATTCTGACATTAAAAGCACAGATGTGTTTTCAGGAAGTCGTCCCTCGAGGCGACCTCCGGCTCACAACAATCTTAACACTTTTTTAAAAACTCATGAACTTTTGATCATTCTGATTTCCTCCCCCTGACCTGTGCCCGCTCGCCTCGTCCTTCACCTCCTCTTCAGAAACACAATCCCATTTTTATGAATAACTTCTTTATTCCATGTCCACATTGTTACTACAGTTTTCACATGTCTACTCATGTTGCTCAGGATACAGCCGTAATCATCTGTATCCTCTTCCTCCTGCCAGTAAGAAGTCGACTTATAAGGATCTGACCGTTTCTGTCCAAAGCTGGGATCGGCCCCTAAACGGCCTGTCATGATGGGTTCGAGGACCTCGGTAGAATAACACTCTCTGGCACCGGCCCACTTTACACATTAGCACAATAATCACGCTAATGGTGATCGCCGAGAGTGACATGAAAGACAGAGTCCAACGGTTTTTATAACAACGCACACTTTAGTTCTATTAAGAGACGACTGAGAGCCTCCAAAACCTCTTCAATTCAGTCAAAAAAAGAGCAGAAAAATATAGCCTGGCCTTATCCATCCGTACACTCCGCTCAATCATGTCCTGCATGTAACGTCTGGGTCTGGTCCCTGTGTTTGCGATGACATCGGTTGAATTCCATCCGACCAATCAGAGAGCGCAGGAGGCGGGTGTTGTAGTTAGATGTGTGTGACGGTTGTAGTTTGGCGAAGAATGCGATAGTAAAGTATTCTGGTCTGGTTAAATCAAGAAACTGAAGCCGGAGCAAGAGGAATGTTTAGCAAATGTAATCGCTGGCAAAGATTGTGGCGCTACTCCCCACAGGCTCCGTTAGCGGCAATGGAGATGCTAAAGCTAGGCTAAATGCTAACAACTCACTCAGGCGCGTTACATACATCACAGTAAACTCAGATCCAATCGTTTCAATCTGCAAAAGGAGTTAGCCCCTCCCACTTGTTCACGGAGGCAATGGAGCAAATCCAGACCTTAGTATGAAATGAAATGTGTACTATGGTGTGGTACGACCAGGCTAGGACTATTATAGAAGTGAGGGGTTATTATTAGTTCCATATGAACCAACTCTTTGCGTTTTAGCCTTATCTGTGGTCTCAGTGTGAATAAATAGTTTATGGATTATTGAGAAGAAGAGGAAATCTGAGGCACTCCTGACATTAAGATAATCTCGCCATCTACCTCTCCATCACTCCCTCTCTCTCTCTGTTTCTCTTTCTGTCTGTCTCACTCTCTGTATCTCTCTATCTCTCCCCCTCTCTTTTTCTCTCTGCCTGAGTGTGTATGGTGCAGTTTTATGAGAGGGAGAGAGGGGGGGGGGGGGGGGGGGGGGGGGGGGGGGGGGGGGGGGGGGGGGGGGGAGGAGAGAGGGGAGAGCAGAGATTGAGGCCAAGAGAGAGACACAGAGAGTGAGTGAGAGAGAGAGGGGGAGAGAGAGAGTGAGAGAGAGAGTGAGTGAGAGAGAGAGAGAGAGAGAGAGGGGACGAGAGAGAGAGGGGGACAGGGAGAGGGAGAGAGAGCCTCTGATGATAACCAGATGTACTGAGTTTGAGCGCCGTAGAGCCTTGTTTACGAGAGCCCATCACCCATAGAGGAGAGTGTGTGTCTGTCTGTGTGCGTGAGTGTCTGTGTGTCTGTCTGTGTGCGTGCGTGTCTCTGTCAGTGTGCGTGAGTGTGTGTCTGTCTGTGTGCGTGTCTCTCTGTCTGTGTGTGTCTGTCTGTCTGTGTATGTGTCTGTCTGTGTGCGTGTCTGTCTGTGTGCGTGCGTGTCTCTCTGTCTGTCTGTGTGAGTGTGTGTGTGTCTGTGTGCGTGCGTGTCTTTCTGTCTGTGTGTGTGTCTATCTGTGTGCGTGCGTGTCTCTCTGTCTGTGTGTGTGTCTGTCTGTGTGCGTGCGTGCGTGTCTCTCTGTCTGTGTCTTTCTCTGTCTGTGTGTGTATGTGTCTGTCTGTCTGTGTGTTTGTCTGTGTGCGTGCGTGCCTCTCTGTCTGTGTGTGTCTGTCTGTGTGCGTGTCTCTGTCTGTGTGTGCGTCTGTCTTTGTGTGTGTGTCTGTGCGTGTGTGTGTGTCTGTGTCTCCTGCAAAAATGGAGTGGTTTTTATGAAGATGAATAAAGTCCTTTTCTGATCCCAGAGCTGGAAATGTCAGTGTTGCATCGTTACAGAGCAGTAAGAATGAGGAACACAAGATAAAAGAACAATAACAATACTTTAACAAATAAAATACAATCTCTAACTGATGTAGAACAATAATAATCTGAGCACATTCTGACTTTTTTAAAACCACATTTTCCGAGACATCTTTGTATCATTTCAAAACAAGATAATTCTGGTTTGTCCCGTCGTGGAAGGGGATCAGGCCTTTCTCCATGTGTCTGCATAGGTTTCCTCCAGGTGCTCCGATTTCCCCAACCACAAAAACATGCACAGTAGGTCTGAATGTAATGAGTGATGGAGGGTGTTTGGTCGGAGGTTTTGAGGGTCCAGTGTGTTCGGGGTCTCGCTTCTTTCATCACCGTGTGGAGAGATGGAACAATATCTGAACTTTGTAAAGTGCTTTGGGTGACCTTGGTCTGTAAAAATGCGCTATATAAATAAACATTACTTACTCGTGGTTAGTTCAAAGGTTATGGCAAAAGATGTGTGTGTGCTTTTTGAATGCATTAATGTAGGCAAGAACCAAAGAAGCTAATAAGCTACATTTCCAAATTGGGTCATTGAAGGCTGCTTTCCCAAAATAGCACAGATCATTTTTCTCAACAATGTTTTTTATTTCTGGGTTTTACGAGGTTAAGATACTTTTTGCCACATTTTTCACTTATTTTTCTTCACTTTTTTGCAAATTCTGGCTCGAAACAAAAATTAGTTTGAGAGAGGGGTGAAAGAAGACATTTTTGCAAGGAAACACAAACCTCCTCTAAGCTTTTTTGCCTCGTATCTATGACGACGTCCTAAAAACAGCGGCCTAACTATAGATGAGGTCAGTGACGTCTTAATGAGTTAGCAGTGGTTAGACCTGCACTCCACGAGCGCAATCTCAGCAGACAATAGTCACATGTTAATAAGGTAGGATCATTAGACCTAGCAGGATCGTTAGACCTACTGGATCATTAGACCTAGCAGGATCGTTAGACCTAGCAGGATCGTCAGACATAGCAGGATCGTTAGACCTAGCAGGATCGTTAGACCTAGCAGGATCGTCAGACATAGTAGGATCGTCAGACCTAGCAGGATCGTTAGACCTAGCAGGATCGTTAGACCTGCTCACAACCACATATTAGCAGACCTTACATGTGTTAATGAGTTAGTCTCAGGATCAGGGGGTCTATAACCGCACCCACAGGTTATAAATCTCCAACTCGCGGCTGAGATTTCATTCCCTTGAGAAAGTTTATTGGATTAGGAACAAAAAGTGGGGAAAACCTAAGTTCAGCTGATGGGTGAGAAACCTTCCTTTGTTCTGAATAATCCCTGATCGACTGAGAGCATACTCAATCTTTTTGCAGTGTACACATTCAACCAGGGGAAAAAAATTGAAGCTGCTCAAAATGATATATTTGAGCCTAATGTTCATCAAGTAAATGCCATTGGATGATGTCACACATTTTGGTTGTGCTCACACTGAGGTTTACACAAACAGGACGTTAAAGGTCCTATACTGTGCTTTTTGACTTTTCTCTTTAAACGTCATTACTGCACTATTTGCCCCGAGTCGATAGATTCCCTCAAGCTTTGGTTGGAGAGCGATCTTTCTCTTTCATTCTCCTGAGACCCCAAAACGACTCGATTCAATCTGTGATGTCATAAGCCCGCCTCCAGGAGGTGATTGACAGCGGTGAGGAGCTGAACCAGATGATCGGTGCATGCAGCCTCTCTCCGAGTCCAGTGAGTCTTCCATATTCAGTAAATATTAGTATGATCCCGCTTTTTGTGTTAGCTTCATGTTAACTTGGAGAAAATGTGTTGTTGGTGTAAATATGGGGCGATAGTGTTTGGGCCGAAGACGGAGAATATGGCTCGACTTTATTCACAGGGATCTGCCTCTGAAAAAATAATTATGCTAACTAGGGCTGCAGGATATAGGAAATTAGAGCAATATTCGATATGGGTGTTTAGTCTTTCTCCCACAGACAAGTCTCTCCAGAGGATACGGTGTAAGCTAGCTCTGTTCAGGGCTTGGTTTCTTCTTTGATCATGTTTAGCTTTAGTTCCTCTTCTCTTCCTCACTGTTGTGTGGTTTGGGCTGTTTTGCTGTGTCTGCAGTTACAGCCAGAGGAGTTATAGCCACTTATGCTAACATGCTACTGTGTTTAGCAGCGCTGTAGAGGCTAGAGGACGCTGCCTCGCTCTGTGATTGGAGGAGAGCCTGAATTCATGCACAGCTGAATCAATGAGCTCAAGTTTTCAATTAAATTACGGATTATAATATGCAGTAATATGTATTTTTTATTAAAAATCAGGTATAGCCTCTTTAAGGTGGAAGATTAGGAAGAGTAAAGTGGGTGAAGGCTTTGTCCCCGTGTCATCTGTAAGAGAAAAGACACATCTATGAAAAGATTGAAACTTGGAAAATGATGTAACTTTAAACATTTGATTTGAGATAATGTGAGTATTGATCTTCTGTTTGTGCATGAGGAAGCGCTGGAAGTGGCAGGTCCCGGGTCGATTTCAAACAGCTGTGGTTTGGTGCTTTACAATCAATATTTTCTTATTAAATCAGAGGAAACGACTTCATCACGAGCTTCTGTCAGCTGATGTTTAGATTAGATATTACTGTTTATGATTTTAAACACAAACCTGCTGCTGATGGTCACATGAGTTTCTAATGTGTTCAATAAATCTAACTATCTGCCCCCATTGTCATGTTAGTGTGACGCAGTATAATGTTGTGTAAAGGCAATGATTCAAATTTGTCAAATGAATAAATATGAACAAATAGTGTCCGTCTAATACACAATATATTTTTACTTTGTCACAATTACATACTAAAGCTTGTATATGTAACTTTTGGAGTATGTGTGTGACTGCAATAGCTCTCCAGAGTTTATTATTGACTGGTATCTATATTTTTAGCATCTGAACGTGTACCCTGGGCCAGCACCCATAAGTACGTTACTTCTGCTTGTTCCTTTTGAGCTCCATACAGAATGTTGTTAAGTTGTGATCGTCTACACAACTGCAGTTATGATCTGACTCTTTATGTACCCTTTAAACTGCTAAAATAGAGTAAACAGCGTGAGCGCCACGGTGGCTGAGTGAATAGCACTCTAGACTCTCAGCAAGAAGGTCCAGGGTTAGAATCCTGGTTGGAACGGGGTCTTTCTGGGTGGAAAACCACTAAAAACATGCACACTGGGTTAAATCCTCCAGCTCTGGTCCTGACCACGCCGAGCACCAACATCTGGAGATGGGTTCCCGGGCGCTGTTACTACGGCGACCACTGCTCCTGACGTGAGCCTTAGTGGCATCAGGATGGGTCAAATGCAGAGGATGAACTGCCCTACGGGGATCAGTGCACCTTCACCGTTAAAAACAAACCTAAGAAATATACTTTTTTTTTTTGCCCCCAGACTCTGAACATTTCCTCGTGCTGCCTGTCTGTAGGTTGTGATGCATGTGTTTGCTCAGGGACTATCGATGAAAACTATGGATTTGTATTATTCACAATATTTACAATTTAGACAATTTACAATTGTTTATGTGTGTTTTGATCAAATAAACAAACACATAATGCCATTCAACATTCTAAGGCATCAGTATGTCACGTCAGAATAACAGATCCACATGCAGTGTATCAAACTGTCTCAGGACTTTAATGTGACAGCTGCGGTTTGGCTCGTTGTGTTGCACTGACCTCTAGAGGCTGATCCGTGAACAGCAGTTTCTCCTCACTCAGTCGTGACAGTGGAATACAGATATTTCCTTCCTCTTCTCCTCCGTATTTTACTTTTACTGTGTCACAGCATCTGCAGACAAAACACACACATATAACACACACACACACACACACACATATAACACACAGAGAACACACTCTCTGTCTGGTTGTGTGTGTGTGTGTGTCCCTCTCTTTGTATGTATGTGGAAATGAATGATCCAAATAAAAAAAATAAAAAAAATCTGTGTGTATATGTGTGTGTGTGTCTCTATCTCTGTGCGTGTCTGTGTGTGTCTCTATCTCTGTGTGTGTCTGTGTGTGTCTCTCTCTCTGTGTGTGTGCTATTACTAACCCTTGTAAATCCATAGCAGAGACCTGTATAAGGTCCAGAACCCTGCCCTTCTTCTTCTTCTTCTTGTTGATAGAACGTCACGTCTGCTGCTCAGGTTCCAGTGAACTGATCGATAGATGGAAGGACTCCTGCACAAAGACAACACATTATTATAATACACTGGATATTTGTTTTAAAACCATGAATCCAGTCAGGTGTGTGTTTGGGCACGTACCAGGGCTCGGGCGGCACAGCGTCATACAAACGTCCGACGGAGAACTCTTGAAAAGCTTCAGCACTTTCTGCAAAAAGACGTGAAAGTTGAGTTTTGTTTATTTCTATATTTTGACAGCCGTTACAGAAGATGCTTGATAAAGAAAGAGTCTGGTGTGTGTGTGAAGGGTTGGTGGTGGTGGGAGGGGCCGATGGCACAGACTGGTTGCCTCGCTTCTGTCAGTGTGCCCCAGGGCAGCTGTGGCTACAGTAGTTTATCACCACTGTGTTTGGAGTGAAAGAATAATGACATGTGAAGCGTCTTTGAGCGTCCAACAAAGCTCTATGTAAATCACCAACAGAGAGTCCATGATCCGGGTTGAACTCCGGTTTTCTCAAAATACACACTTTAATGCCACAAACTCTGCTCGATTGTCTCCAGCTCTATTTTTGCTCCAGCTCCGATCTAATCTCCAGCCGCTGATTGGTCAAAACGCGGACAGCCACACACCCATATTTGGCGCAAAGCATCATGGGATCTCATCCACCGGGATGACCAGATAAATGACAAAATATAGGCAAGTTCCGCTAATCTTTCGGTCCCCGCGATACATGCACTTCTGAGCACAAGCCACTGATTTGAACAGGACGCCATCTTGGATCGCCGGGGCTTGGTTTGAGACCGTGCAACTAGAACTCGTTTTCTCCTAGTTTTGATGTTAAAAACTGATTGATTGATTCTTGATGGTGTGTGTAGTGCAAGTGTGTGTAGTGCAGGTGTGTGTAGTGCAGGTGTGTGTAGTGCAGACGTGTGTGTAGTGCAAGTGTGTGTAGTGCAAGTGTGTGTAGTGCAGGTGTGTGTAGTGCAGGTGTGTGTAGTGCAGACGTGTGTGTAGTGCAAGTGTGTGTAGTGCAAGTGTGTGTAGTGCAGGTGTGTGTAGTGCAGGTGTGTGTAGTGCAGGCGTGTGTAGTGCAGACGTATGTAGTGCAGGCGTGTGTAGTGCAGGCGTTTGTAGTGCAGACGTGTGTAGTGCAGGCGTGTGTAGTGCAGACGTGTGTAGTGCAGGCGTGTGTAGTGCAGGCGTGTGTAGTGCAGACGTGTGTAGTGCAGACGTGTGTAGTGCAGGCGTGTGTAGTGCAGGCGTGTGTAGTGCAGGCGTGTGTAGTGCAGGCGTGTGTAGTGCAGGCGTGTGTAGTGCAGGCGTGTGTAGTGCAGGCGTGTGTAGTGCAGACGTGTGTAGTGCAGGCGTGTGTAGTGCAGGCGTGTGTAGTGCAGGCGTGTGTAGTGCAGGCGTGTGTAGTGCAGGCGTGTGTAGTGCAGGCGTGTGTAGTGCAGGCGTGTGGAGTAGGGTTTAATCCCGGGACACGGGATTCCCGAGAAATCTGATCAAAACTATTTCCCGATTCCCGGGAAATGTTATGACGGGAAACGGGAAATGAAAGTTTAAAAAAATCCAGTGCGCTCCTATTATAGAGCACGTTTATTGTTGTTCAAAGTTCAAACATATTTCATTTACAATCAACATGTCTACAGCTGAGAGGATGGCTCCTAAATTGTGTTTTTGACAACAAATATGGGTCTTAATCGCGCTAAACCACGACTTGTAATGAGGCCAGCCTCAGGGTACGGGGCACACGTGAGCCCAGAATTTGGCTACATCCAATTCTATCAGAAAGCTCCTTTCTTTTTTTACATCTACTAAGGGCAGCAACAGGTTTGGCTAACATACATATAACACATTTTAAGATCATATAAAATGCATTTAGGGTAATGTTCTGCTTCCAATGACAATAGGAATGATAAGGAAGAGAGGAGAAGGGTAAGAAGGTTGATATTAGAAATTGGATGCGCCCGAGAGCCGGCTGCAGCGAAAACACAGAGGAGTTTATGGAGGTGGCACCAGTTTTGTTTTACGCTTTAAAACTCTTTGGGCTTATTTCCAAATGGGGGATTACATATCTGCGCTCAAACTATTATCTGGACTTAAACACGGAACTGGTCTGAACTGAAGTGGTCTGTGCTGTTCATTAATAACTAAGATAAGACCCATAACACAATTGGACGAACTTCTGCGTTTTGTATGAGCAAACAATGCGGCCCTTGGAAAACATTCTGCTGTAGCCAAACTAATTGTGAATAAGCCGCTCTGTAGGTTCTGTTGATTTATATATGTCCATCTGATTGGGCTGAAGTCAGTGCCTCCAAACCACACCGCACGTCACTGGTCGACAAGTGGATTGCGCAGACATTTAGAATCTCATAATAGTGAAATTCCTGAAGAAAGCCCATCAACAAAACGTCTGAAAACGCTATGGCTACTTTAGAAAAGCTTGCACGTGGCTTGGTGAAACACTAGTGGAGATGGCAGCTTTTGTTGGATTATATATTTTAGTGATGTCATACATTACTTGGGCTAAAAACAATAACTACAAACCACAGCTATTTCCCGGAAAAGGCGTCGTCTTTTCCCGGGATTTGATACGTCTCATTTTCGGGAAAAATATTAAACCCTAGTGTGTAGTGCAGGCGTGTGGACTGCAGGTGTGTGTGTATTGCAGGTGTGTGTAGCAGGTGTGTGTAGTGCAGGTGTGTGTAGTGCAGGTGTGTGTAGTGCAGGTGTGTGTAGTGCAGGTGTGTGTAGTGCAGGTGTGTGTAGTGCAGGTGTGTGTAGCAGGTGTGTGTAGTGCAGGTGTGTGGAGTGCAGGTGTGTGTGTAGCAGGTGTGTGTAGTGCAGGTGTGTGTAGTGCAGGTGTGTGTAGTGCAGGTGTGTGTGTAGTGCAGACTCGTGTTGTGCGTACCGGGTAGGTGAGCTCCTTCAGGGACTGTCCGTTGATTGACAGGAGCACGTCCCCTTCCTGGATCTGCCCGCTCTGTTGGGCCGGCTGACCTGGGAACACCTCTTTGATCCGGACTAGACTGTTGAAGTCTTTCCGGGGCGGGTCTATCTCGCACATGAGGAAACTGAAGCCCAGTCCCACGTCGGTCTTGGTCAGAGTCACCATCTGCGTGTTTTCTGATATTACACAGGAGACAGCACAAACCAACTTATAGTACTTCACGAAACAACAGTGCATTGAAAAGAGTGAAGTTATAATCCCTTTGTCGTTTGCAGCTTGACAGAACCGTGTTTAACCTGGATTTGAACATTGTCAGAGAAGAAGCCTGTCTCACATTTTCAGGAAGACTGTTAATGCATCTGTTTTATATAACACTTTTCTGGGCACTCAGAGATGCTTCACATGATTCTTTCACTTAATACAAAGTGGTGATAAACTACTATTGTAGCCACAGCTGCCCTGGGGCACACTGACACTTACACACCAAACTCATGTTTATGTGGGGGAAGTGTCTTGCCTAAGGACACGACAGTTTGTTATTTTACAGCCGCCCCACTGTGGCACCTGGTGTTCCCAGAGGTCTCCCATCACACTACTGACCAGGCCCTGCCATGCTTAGCTTCAGAGGTCTGACAGGGTCTGGCTTTCACCTGCAGGTGTGACCACTGTTGCAGATTTTAGCTGAACAAATCTATAACGCAGCCTCCCGATGTTTAGTCCTGACTCTGAGACCAGAGCCAGGCCAGTCCCTGTGCTCCTCAGAGTCCCAGCAGGAGGCCAGTCCCTGTGCTCCTCAGAGTCCCAGTAGGAGGCCAGTCCCTGTGCTCCTCAGAGTCCCAGCGGGAGGCCAGTCCCTGTGCTCCTCAGAGTCCCAGTAGGAGGCCAGTCCCTGTGCTCCTCAGAGTCCCAGCGGGAGGCCAGTCCCTGTGCTCCTCAGAGTCCCAGCGGGAGGCCAGTCCCTGTGCTCCTCAGAGTCCCAGTAGGAGGCCAGTCCCTGTGCTCCTCAGAGTCCCAGTAGGAGGCCAGTCCCTGTGCTCCTCAGAGTCCCAGTAGGAGGCCAGTCCCTGTGCTCCTCAGAGTCCCAGTAGGAGGCCAGTCCCTGTGCTCCTCAGAGTCCCAGTAGGAGGCCAGTCCCTGTGCTCCTCAGAGACCCAGCGGGAGGCCAGTCCCTGTGCTCCTCAGAGACCCAGCGGGAGGCCAGTCCCTGTGCTCCTCAGAGTCCCAGCAGGAGGCCAGGTACAAGTCACAGGTACAAGTCAATGGGACACTTTTCTACATGAGAATGACCCATATTCACTGAATTATAAATAAACATTTCAAACGCATACATATAATATATGTAATAATATAATATTAATTAATATAATAATAATAATATAATTTCTTGAACACGAACACAACACAATGTTAAATAGTTACTTGCTTTTTCTCGTCAGTCTTCTGTCGAGTTTTGGGAAACATTAGGAAAGATTTATAATTAAGTGAAGTAAAAACTAAAACAACTTTCAAAACATTGTCTCTTCAAAGGTGAATATTGAAATGAGCAAGTAAACTATTTAGAGCAAGGCAAGTTTATCTGTATAGCACGATTCATACACAGGGAAAAGCTTCACTACAGCAGGGTTAGCATCTGCAGGGTTAGCAGCTGCAGGGTTAGCAGCTGCAGGGTTAGCATCTGCAGGGTTAGCATCTACAGGGTTAGCATCCACAGGGTTAGCATCTGCTCGTCAGACAGACTGATGCACTGACGCCTGACTCTGCTCACGCATCAATGTGGGGAGTAAACGACTAAAAAGAAACCTTTCTGGACCTGTTCTGCCTGATATTTATCTGTTTATTATGAAACTGTTATAGCCTTTAAAAACATAGAAGAAGAATACATGTGTGTGGTTTCTGCTAGTGCTGGGAAAATATGAGTTCTGTTCAGTAAAAAGTAAATCGATAAAATAACAAAGTAAAACGATATTTACTTATATCATGATCTGTTTCACTTGTTTGTTTTCTCTGAGGTTTCTGTTCCTCTGATGTCTGCTTTTTGTGACTCTAGTCTAGGGGTCTCCGACCTTTAGCCTGGGAGTTACCAGTAGCTCCAAAGGATTTAGATTTTAACAAATGAATATCTTGGATGAATACATTACATATCTGTTTGAAGTATATTTGTATATTTATGTGCTTTCTATGTTTTTGTCGTTATTATTGCATAGATTTTTTTTTAGAGCTACTGAAAAAAGGAGTAGCTCTCTGCCTCTTTTGTCGCATGAAAGTAGCTCTCTGATTGAAAAAGGTTGCTCTAGTCTGTTGTATTTGAATGATGTAAAAGAGGTGATAATACAATACATCGCAGAATCAAATCGCGATACTTGCAGTTTCACAATACGAATCACAATGATAATGAACTGTGCCCAAATATGGTAATACCATCAAATCCTGACATGTTTTACCAGATGCCCGTCCTGGTTCCTGCACTATGGGAGAAGAGGGAGGCGTGAAGAGGATCAGGAGCAGAGGGATGAGCAGGACAAGGCCGGGTCAGGAGATCAGGACATGGACCGTGTGGAAGGTCACTCTGCGGCGCCGGAGACTTACCGTCCGTGATAAAGCTGTATTCTCTGCGAGGAGGCGCAGAGGAGGACTGAGGAGGAGGAGGGTGCTGGTTCTTGGGCTGCGTGGACGGGCTGTTGGTGGATCCACTGCTGCAGCTCTCCACACTCAGAGAGACTCGAGGCTGGTTCAAGGACTCACGCTCCACTGACATCACCACCACCTGGACCGGAACAGACCAGCTCAGACCAGATCTGCTCAGGACGACGCTGTCTGTGGTCTCAGTCTCTGGTCCCAGTCTCTGGTCCCAGACTCTGGTCCCAGACTGTGGGACCAGAGTCTGAGTCTGGTCCCAGTCTCTGGTCCCAGACTCTGGTCCCAGACTCTGGGACCAGAGTCTGAGTCTGGTCCCAGTCTCTGGTCCCAGACTCTGGTCCCAGTCTCTGGTCTCTGGTCCCAGACTCTGGTCCCAGACTCTGGTCCCAGACTCTGGTCCCAGACTCTGGTCTCAGACTCTGGTCTCAGTCTCTGGTCTCAGTCTCTGGTCTCAGTCTCTGGTCTCAGACTCAGGTCCCAGACTCAGGTCCCAGACTCAGGTCCCAGACTCAGGTCCCAGACTCAGGTCCCAGTCTCTGGTCTCAGTCTCTGGTCTCAGTCTCTGGTCCCAGTCTCTGGTCTCAGTCTCTGGTCTCAGTCTCTGGTCTCAGTCTCTGGTCTCAGTCTCTGGTCTCAGTCTCTGGTCTCAGACTCAGGTCCCAGACTCAGGTCCCAGACTCAGGTCCCAGACTCAGGTCCCAGACTCAGGTCCCAGACTCAGGTCCCAGTCTCTGGTCCCAGTCTCTGGTCCCAGTCTCTGGTCCCAGTCTCTGGTCCCAGTCTCTGGTCCCAGTCTCTGGTCCCAGTCTCTGGTCCCAGTCTCTGGTCCCAGTCTCTGGTCCCAGTCTCTGGTCCCAGTCTCTGGTCCCAGTCTCTGGTCTCAGTCTCTGGTCCCAGTCTCTGGTCTCAGTCTCTGGTCCCAGTCTCTGGTCTCAGTCTCTGGTCCCAGTCTCTGGTCTCAGTCTCTGGTCCCAGTCTCTGGTCCCAGTCTCTGGTCCCAGTCTCTGGTCTCAGTCTCTGGTCTCAGTCTCTGGTCCCAGTCTCTGGTCCCAGTCTCTGGTCCCAGTCTCTGGTCTCAGTCTCTGGTCCCAGTCTCTGGTCCCAGTCTCTGGTCCCAGTCTCTGGTCCCAGTCTCTGGTCTCAGTCTCTGGTCCCAGTCTCTGGTCTCAGTCTCTGGTCCCAGTCTCTGGTCCCAGTCTCTGGTCTCAGTCTCTGGTCTCAGTCTCTGGTCTCAGTCTCTGGTCCCAGTCTCTGGTCCCAGTCTCTGGTCTCAGTCAAAAGAAATGTAAAAACTAATGTAAATAAATAAATAATATGCAAACCATAATAAATGTGAGAAAAGAGTTCAGTCTTATTTTCCTCATTTTCTTTGAATAATAAAAAGGAATCGCAAAAATAATAATAATAATAATAATAATAATGCATTAGTTTTATACAGCGCTTTTCTGGACTCTCAAAGTCTCTTCACATCATCATTCATTCACTACATACACGGTGGTGATAAACTACTGTAGCCACAGCTGCCCTGGGGCACACTGACAGAAGACAGGCAACCAGTCTGTGCCCACGACCCTCTGGCTGGGACTGAGAAAAAAAGACTCAGTTGACGCTTCAAGAATGCATCCAGTGGGGCATCACAATAACATTAAACATGTTGTGTTAATTCCACAACAGCCACAACCCACATATCGACATCGGTATCGGCTGATATTGGAATCAAAAATTGAGAGTTGGACAATATCGGACATCGGCAAAAAGCCAATATCCGACCTCCCTAACACACAAACAATAAACAAACAAACCTCTCCTTGAAAATGAAGCACAATTCTCTATCTATAATCCAAAGGAAAGGCTACCTCTCCAGTTTTGCTCAGACACTCCACGGCCTGTCTGTACGTGAAGCCCAGAAACCCAACTCCATCCACCTCCACGAGTCGGTCCCCTGTGAGAGAGGACAGGGGCGAGAATGTGACAAACCCAGACCACAGTCGGTACTTCCAGGGTAACGCCGCCTCCTCACCGACATGAAGGCGTCCGTCTCTCTCTGCCGCTCCTCCGGGAACAAGGCTCTTGATGTAGATTCCTCCGTTTGGCTCGCTGGCGTTAGCACCGCTCTGGGAACGCCACAATGCAGAGGATACAGGAAGTCAAATCTGCCCTTTCATCTTCTTAATGTGGGCGGGTCTAAGGACAGCGGGGATGATCCAGGACTCGCCACAGTCAATGATATTCATGCACATTTATTAACATGTATGGTTATGGTCATCTGCCCCTTACAACCAAGATAATCTACTGGTGCGATTTAGGGCTACACAAAAATATAACTGAATTACAACAGATGGACCAAAAATGTGCCCTTTCTCTTCTCAATCCTGTTTTAGTGGATGGAAAATATGTCAAACTCTGAATGCAATGTAATGTTTGGCTAAAACACAGAGTGGAAATGATAAATCAGAATCAGATGAATGTATTAATGGCACAAGTTGACAGCCAAAAAATGGGCAGGGGTTTCTCAACTGATTTAGACTAATGTTGGTGTTCTGAGTCCGAATAGTAAGTAAGTAATCTTTATTTATATACCGCCTTTTCACTGCACATTGGAGTCTCAAAGCGGTTTACAATTGTTATTTTTGGGAGCGGGGCCAGTACAGGAGGCACATGCCAGACCTATTGTACATGTTTTTAGTGGTAGGGGAAACCGGAGCACCCGGAGGAAACCTACGCAGACACGGGGAGAACATGCAAACTCCACTCAGAAAGGCCCTGGTCCAACCGGGTCTCGAACCCAGGACCTTCTAACTGAGAGGCGAGAGTGCTATCCACTCAGCCACCGTGCCGCCCCGAATATCACATGCATTTTGCTCTATCGGGTCAACTTTGTGAGATACAGCCATAGTGTTACGGATTATGTACGTCTACGTTATTATGAATTCTGCTTATCAAATTTGATGGAGTAAATAAAAACTGAATGACTTTGGATACGTTGACTTTTATTTCTTGAGGAAAACGCAAAAAATCCTGACCTGATTGAGCAAAACCAAGGTCATTTTCGGACTCAGAGCATCAACATTAGTCTGAATCAGCTGAAAACCCTGGACTGTTTTCAAAAAAATATATTTTTTTGTTACCCAGTGTAATCACACAAGATTTGCCAATGGGACAAACAGAATTATCATGTTTAAAAAAATATACAGGAAATGTCTCTCTTGGAATGAGAAAACAAAGCAACAGTTCTTGAAATTAGACTAAATGGTTTAAAGGTTTGAATCCAGGCGTGACTGTGTTTTGGATATAAATATATTATATTCTATGACAGATAAGGTAAAAACAAGCAGTATCTTGTCTTATCTTATTGAAATCACAGACTAGCTAATGTAGCACCGGATATTACAAAACATGATCTCTGCCAGACGGGAGTAAAAACCACAGTGTACCTTTAAATAAATATGACCTCATATTTCAAATTAACGCAATATTTCTAAAGTAAAAAAATACTTCTCATAATCCTCATTTCGTATTTTTGTATGTTTGTGTGTGTGTCTGTCTGTCGGTCTGTGTGTGTGTGTCTGTTTGTCTGTTTGTGTGTCTGCCTGTCGGTCTGTGTGTGTGTGTGCATGTTTGTGTGTGTGTCTGCCTGTCGGTCTGTGTGTGTGTGTCTGTTTGTCTGTTTGTGGGTCTGCCTGTCGGTCTGTGTGTGTGTGTGTGTGTGTGTCTGTTTGTCTGTTTGTGGGTCTGTCTGTCGGTCTGTGTGTGTGTCTGCCTGTCGGCCTGTGTGTGTGTGTCTGTTTGTGGGTCTGTCTGTCGGTCTGTGTGTGTGTGTCTGTTTGTGGGTCTGTCTGTCGGTCTGTGTGTGTGTGTGTCTGCCTGTCGGTCTGTGTGTGTGTGTCTGTTTGTGGGTCTGTCTGTCGGTCTGTGTGTGTGTGTGTCTGCCTGTCGGTCTGTGTGTGTGTGTCTGTTTGTGGGTCTGTCTGTCGGTCTGTGTGTGTGTGTGTCTGCCTGTCGGTCTGTGTGTGTGTGTCTGTTTGTGGTCTGTCTGTCGTCTGTGTGTGTCTGTGTCGGTCTGTGTGTGTGTGTGTCTGTTTGTGGGTCTGTCTGTCGGTCTGTGTGTGTGTGTCTGTTTGTGGGTCTGTCTGTCGGTCTGTGTGTGTGTGTCTGTTTGTGGGTCTGTCTGTCGGTCTGTGTGTGTGTGTCTGTTTGTGGGTCTGTCTGTCGGTCTGTGTGTGTGTGTCTGTTTGTGGGTCTGTCTGTCGGTCTGGGTGGGTGTGTCTGTGTGATGTTTACATTTATGGTGCTGCGTATGTGTGTGCGCGTGTGTGTGTCTGAGTGTGTGTAATGTTGTGTCAGGTGTCGTTGTAATGTAATGCTCTAATCCTCATTTCTTTTTGCTCAATAAACCAGACTTTTGTTAGTGTAGACTTTCCAGAGGATTTAAATTCCCACTTACAGAAATGCTAATGCCCAGACTTCCAGAGATCTTCCTCAGCTCCACGTCTATCACCTGTGGCCTGGTGCAGTTCCCGTCCTGAAACCACCCAAAGGAGGAGAGAAGTTAGGTCACACGGCCTCGGCTCCAAACGCCACCTGGTCCCGAAATATCCAGAGTACAACGCAAGATTTTTTCTATTTATTTATGATCCTCCGGCTTATATAGCGGCGCGGCTAATGTGTGTATTTTTATTGTGTCAGAATTTATGGACTCATTATTTAGACTCAAAGTTTTAGTAGCTACAGGACACTTGATAATGGTCAAATTAGATTAACGAGGCATAGAAGCTAACGCGGAATGAGTCATGGAAGCTAACGGTGAATGAGTCATGGAAGCTAACAGCGAATGAGTCATGGAAGCTAACGGTGAATGAGTCGTGGAAGCTAACGGTGAATGAGTCATGGAAGCTAACAGCGAATGAGTCATGGAAGCTAACGGTGAATGAGTCGTGGAAGCTAACGATGAATGAGTCATGGAAGCTAACGGTGAATGAGTCATGGAAGCTAACGGTGAATGAGTCATGGAAGCTAACGGCGAATGAGTCGTGGAAGCTAACGGTGAATGAGTCATGGAAGCTAACGGTGAATGAGTCATGGAAGCTAACGGTGAATGAGTCGTGGAAGCTAACGGTGAATGAGTCATGGAAGCTAACGGTGAATGAGTCGTGGAAGCTAACGGCGAATGAGTCATGGAAGCTAACGGCGAATGAGTCATGGAAGCTAACGGTGAATGAGTCGTGGAAGCTAACGGTGAATGAGTCGTGGAAGCTAACGGTGAATGAGTCGTGGAAGCTAACGGCGAATGAGTCATGGAAGCTAACGGCGAATGAGTCATGGAAGCTAACGGTGAATGAGTCGTGGAAGCTAACGGTGAATGAGTCGTGGAAGCTAACGGTGAATGAGTCGTGGAAGCTAACGGTGAATGAGTCATGGAAGCTAACAGTGAAGCCGTGTGACCAGTTAAAACAGCCGTCTCTGCTACATTAAACATGAACACCTGCACCTTATATTCAGGTGAGGCCTTTATGTGGTGCGGCTTAAACACAGATGTGCCTTGGAGTCCAGAAAGTGTGGTACTTTAAAGGTAAATATATGTACCTGTGCTCCCATGATCCGCACATCCCGGGGCACGTGCAGGCGGTTGCTGGTCCGGGGCGTCGTCATGACAGACACGATGTCGTCGATGCTCTCGTCTCCAGAGCGACTGTCCGTCAGCAGCGGAGAGCGCAGACTGATGGGACTGAGGGCCACTGCGGAGGAGACTGGGAGTGAGAGGGTGTGTGTGTGTGTGTGTCTGCCTGTCGGTCTGTGTGTGTGTGTGTGTCTGCCTGTCGGTCTGTGTGTGTGTGTGTGTCTGCCTGTCGGTCTGTGTGTGTGTGTGCGTCGGTCTGTGTGTGTGTGTGTGCGTCTGCCTGTCGGTCTGTGTGTGTGTGTGCGTCTGCCTGTCGGTCTGTGTGTGTGTGTGCGTCGGTCTGTGTGTGTGTGTGCGTCTGCCTGTCGGTCTGTGTGTGTGTGTGCGTCTGCCTGTCGGTCTGTGTGTGTGTGTGTGTCTGCCTGTCGGTCTGTGTGTGTGTGTGCGTCTGCCTGTCGGTCTGTGTGTGTGTGTGCGTCTGCCTGTCGGTCTGTGTGTGTGTGTGTGTGTCTGCCTGTCGGTCTGTGTGTGTGTGTGTGTGTCTGCCTGTCGGTCTGTGTGTGTGTGTGCGTCTGCCTGTCGGTCTGTGTGTGTGTGTGCGTCTGCCTGTCGGTCTGTGTGTGTGTGTGTGTCTGCCTGTCGGTCTGTGTGTGTGTGTGTGTCTGCCTGTCGGTCTGTGTGTGTGTGTGTGTCTGCCTGTCGGTCTGTGTGTGTGTGTGCGTCTGCCTGTCGGTCTGTGTGTGTGTGTGCGTCTGCCTGTCGGTCTGTGTGTGTGTGTGTGTCTGCCTGTCGGTCTGTGTGTGTGTGTGCGTCTGCCTGTCGGTCTGTGTGTGTGTGTGTGTCTGCCTGTCGGTCTGTGTGTGTGTGTGCGTCGGTCTGTGTGTGTGTGTGCGTCTGCCTGTCGGTCTGTGTGTGTGTGTGCGTCTGCCTGTCGGTCTGTGTGTGTGTGTGTGTCTGCCTGTCGGTCTGTGTGTGTGTGTGTGTCTGCCTGTCGGTCTGTGTGTGTGTGTGCGTCTGCCTGTCGGTCTGTGTGTGTGTGTGCGTCTGCCTGTCGGTCTGTGTGTGTGTGTGTGTCTGCCTGTCGGTCTGTGTGTGTGTGTGTGTCTGCCTGTCGGTCTGTGTGTGTGTGTGTGTCTGCCTGTCGGTCTGTGTGTGTGTGTGCGTCTGCCTGTCGGTCTGTGTGTGTGTGTGCGTCTGCCTGTCGGTCTGTGTGTGTGTGTGCGTCTGCCTGTCGGTCTGTGTGTGTGTGTGCGTCTGCCTGTCGGTCTGTGTGTGTGTGTGTGCGTCTGCCTGTCGGTCTGTGTGTGTGTGTGTGTCTGCCTGTCGGTCTGTGTGTGTGTGTGCGTCTGCCTGTCGGTCTGTGTGTGTGTGTGCGTCTGCCTGTCGGTCTGTGTGTGTGTGTGTGTCTGCCTGTCGGTCTGTGTGTGTGTGTGTGTCTGCCTGTCGGTCTGTGTGTGTGTGTGCGTCTGCCTGTCGGTCTGTGTGTGTGTGTGCGTCTGCCTGTCGGTCTGTGTGTGTGTGTGTGTCTGCCTGTCGGTCTGTGTGTGTGTGTGTGTCTGCCTGTCGGTCTGTGTGTGTGTGTGTGTCTGCCTGTCGGTCTGTGTGTGTGTGTGCGTCTGCCTGTCGGTCTGTGTGTGTGTGTGCGTCTGCCTGTCGGTCTGTGTGTGTGTGTGTGTCTGCCTGTCGGTCTGTGTGTGTGTGTGCGTCTGCCTGTCGGTCTGTGTGTGTGTGTGCGTCTGCCTGTCGGTCTGTGTGTGTGTGTGTGTCTGCCTGTCGGTCTGTGTGTGTGTGTGCGTCTGCCTGTCGGTCTGTGTGTGTGTGTGTGCGTCTGCCTGTCGGTCTGTGTGTGTGTGTGTGTGTGTCTGCCTGTCGGTCTGTGTGTGTGTGTGTGTGTGTGTGTCTGCCTGTTGGTCTGTGTATGTGTGTGTGTGTGTGTGTCTGCCTGTCGGTCTGTGTGTGTGTGTGTGTGTGTGTGTGTGTGGGTCTGTTTGTCTGTCTGTGTGTGTGTGTGTGTATGTTTGTGTGTGTGTCTGTTTGTCTGTGTGTGTGTGTGTGTGTGTATGTTTGTGTGTGTGTCTGTTTGTCTGTGTGTGTGTGTGTGTCTGTTTGTCTGTCTGTCTGTCTGTGTGTGTGTGTGTGTGTATGTTTGTGTGTGTGTCTGTTTGTCTGTCTGTGTGTGTGTGTCTGTTTGTCTGTCTGTCTGTCTGTGTGTGTGTGTGTGTGTATGTTTGTGTGTGTGTCTGTTTGTCTGTCTGTGTGTGTGTGTGTCTGTTTGTCTGTCTGGGTGGGTGTGTGTGTGTATGTTTGTGTGTGTGTCTGCCTGTCGGTCTGTGTGTGTGTGTGTGTATGTGTGTGTGTATGTGTGTGTGTCTGCCTGTCGGTCTGTGTGTGTGTGTGTGTGTGTATGTTTGTGTGTGTGTCTGTCTGTCGGTCTGTGTGTGTGTGTCTGCCTGTCGGTCTGTGTGTGTGTGTGTGTGTGTGTATGTTTGTGTGTGTGTCTGCCTGTCGGTCTGTGTGTGTATGTTTGTGTGTGTGTGTGTCTGTTTGTGGGTCTGTCTGTCTGTCTGGGTGGGTGTGTCTGTGTGATGTTTACATTTAAGGTGCTGCGTATGTGTGTGCGCGTGTGTGTGTCTGAGTGTGTGTAATGTTGTGTCAGGTGTCGTTGCAATGTACATGTATAGTTCTGTGTGTGTCTAAGTATTGTACATAGACAAACTCTGAGGTAATAACTGCTTGAATCAAGTATTTTTTTTATCTTACATCCAGATCAAGGCAGTCAGAAAAGGCTCAAATTAAAAAAGAATTTGCCAAATTTGAGCAACTTTTTGCAGTGTTTCTGTTGTTATAATTTGATTTCCTGTTATGGTATTGTTTAGTCATGTAACCAGAGACTGCAGATAGAAATGAGTTGTGTAGAAATAACCTTGGGCAGAACACATCTGTTTGTGTGCACTACCTTTCAAATAAAGACTAAACTACTGAACATAGATTTTCTGATTCACAAAGCAACAAATATAAGCCACTGTTTTTCATGCAGAGATTCCAGTCTATGGTTATATAATAAAGCAGATAAGCATTAGCATATCTACTCGTACTTCTATAGACAGGATTGGACGGACATTTTACTGGTCTATAAATCTATAAACTAGTCATTTTAATAAATAAACCGTAGTTTGACAAGATTTTTTTCAAAGCTTAAAACGAAAAAGTTCCCATATTTGTTTCTTGTCCCTAGTTCAAAGGTGCCTCAAAAGGGGACATAACCTTTGAAAGAACTAGCAACACTAAAAAAAGGTTTTAGGGTCACACTTTAGTCCAGCCCTCACTAATCATCAGCTAATAATAAGGTGCTAATTAGTGTATAATTTATGATTACTAACTGACACTTTCCCATGTGGATTAGCATTGATTAGCACTTAATTAGCTGTTATTTAAAAAAATTGCACATTATTGTAAACAAATGAGGTTGTTTTTAAGCATAAACATTGTTACTTTTGTCTTGTAGCTTCGACCCGTGAAACTTAACCCGTCAACAGCAACACACAGAGCTGATTTCAAAGTGCCGCGTCCTCTTTGATCCGTGTTGGTGTTGCGTTCAAACGTGTGGAAACCGACTCCTGTTACAAAGGTTCCTCTGGCGCATGGAGCACAAAGCACCTTTAGGCTGCGACACGATGAGCTGCACCTCCTCCGGGCTGCTGTGCATGACCTCCGCCGCCTCGCTGAACGCCACGCCCTCCAGGCTCACGTTGTTCAGGGAGATCAGACGACCGCCTGCAGGAGGTCAGAGGAGGAGGTCAGAGGAGGAGGTCAGAGGAGGAGGTCAGAGGAGGAGGACAGAGGAGGAGGTCAGAGGAGGAGGACAGAGGAGGAGGACAGAGGAGGAGGACAGAGGAGGAGGTCAGAGGAGGAGGACAGAGGAGGAGGTCAGAGGAGGAGGACAGAGGAGGAGGTCAGAGGAGGAGGTCAGAGGAGGAGGACAGAGGAGGAGGTCAGAGGAGGAGGACAGAGGAGGAGGACAGAGGAGGAGGACAGAGGAGGAGGTCAGAGGAGGAGGTCAGAGGAGGAGGTCAGAGGAGGAGGACAGAGGAGGAGGACAGAGGAGGAGGACAGAGGAGGAGGACAGAGGAGGAGGTCAGAGGAGGAGGTCAGAGGAGGAGGTCAGAGGAGGAGGACAGAGGAGGAGGTCAGAGGAGGAGGACAGAGGAGGAGGACAGAGGAGGAGGACAGAGGAGGAGGTCAGAGGAGGAGGTCAGAGGAGGAGGACAGAGGAGGAGGTCAGAGGAGGAGGACAGAGGAGGAGGTCAGAGGAGGAGGTCAGAGGAGGACAGAGGAGGAGGACAGAGGAGGAGGACAGAGGAGGAGGACAGAGGAGGAGGACAGAGGAGGAGGTCAGAGGAGGAGGTTAGAGGAGGAGGTCAGAGGAGGAGGACAGAGGAGGAGGACAGAGGAGGAGGACAGAGGAGGAGGACAGAGGAGGAGGTCAGAGGAGGAGGACAGAGGAGGAGGACAGAGGAGGAGGACAGAGGAGGAGGTCAGAGGAGGAGGTCAGAGGAGGAGGACAGAGGAGGAGGTCAGAGGAGGAGGACAGAGGAGGAGGACAGAGGAGGAGGTCAGAGGAGGAGGTCAGAGGAGGAGGACAGAGGAGGAGGTCAGAGGAGGAGGTCAGAGGAGGAGGTCAGAGGAGGAGGACAGAGGAGGAGGACAGAGGAGGAGGACAGAGGAGGAGGTCAGAGGAGGAGGTCAGAGGAGGAGGACAGAGGAGGAGGACAGAGGAGGAGGTCAGAGGAGGAGGTCAGAGGAGGAGGACAGAGGAGGAGGTCAGAGGAGGAGGACAGAGGAGGAGGACAGAGGAGGAGGACAGAGGAGGAGGTCAGAGGAGGAGGTCAGAGGAGGAGGTCAGAGGAGGAGGACAGAGGAGGAGGACAGAGGAGGAGGACAGAGGAGGAGGACAGAGGAGGAGGTCAGAGGAGGAGGTCAGAGGAGGAGGACAGAGGAGGAGGTCAGAGGAGGAGGACAGAGGAGGAGGTCAGAGGAGGAGGACAGAGGAGGAGGTCAGAGGAGGAGGTCAGAGGAGGAGGACAGAGGAGGAGGTCAGAGGAGGAGGACAGAGGAGGAGGTCAGAGGAGGAGGTCAGAGGAGGAGGACAGAGGAGGAGGACAGAGGAGGAGGACAGAGGAGGAGGACAGAGGAGGAGGACAGAGGAGGAGGTCAGAGGAGGAGGTCAGAGGAGGAGGACAGAGGAGGAGGACAGAGGAGGAGGACAGAGGAGGAGGACAGAGGAGGAGGACAGAGGAGGAGGTCAGAGGAGGAGGACAGAGGAGGAGGACAGAGGAGGAGGTCAGAGGAGGAGGTCAGAGGAGGAGGACAGAGGAGGAGGTCAGAGGAGGAGGACAGAGGAGGAGGACAGAGGAGGAGGACAGAGGAGGAGGTCAGAGGAGGAGGTCAGAGGAGGAGGTCAGAGGAGGAGGACAGAGGAGGAGGACAGAGGAGGAGGACAGAGGAGGAGGACAGAGGAGGAGGTCAGAGGAGGAGGTCAGAGGAGGAGGTCAGAGGAGGAGGACAGAGGAGGAGGTCAGAGGAGGAGGACAGAGGAGGAGGGACAGAGGAGGAGGACAGAGGAGGAGGTCAGAGGAGGAGGACAGAGGAGGAGGACAGAGGAGGAGGTCAGAGGAGGAGGACAGAGGAGGAGGTCAGAGGAGGAGGTCAGGAGGAGGACAGAGGAGGAGGACAGAGGAGGAGGACAGAGGAGAGGAGGACAGAGGAGGAGGACAGAGGAGGAGGTCAGAGGAGGAGGTCAGAGGAGGAGGACAGAGGAGGAGGTCAGAGGAGGAGGTCAGAGAGGAGGACAGAGGAGGAGGACAGAGGAGGAGGACAGAGGAGAGGACAGAGGAGGAGGTCAGAGGAGGAGGTCAGAGGAGGAGGTCAGAGGAGGAGGACAGAGGAGGAGGACAGAGGAGGAGGACAGAGGAGGAGGACAGAGAGAGGAGGACAGAGGAGGAGGACAGAGGAGGAGGTCAGAGGAGGAGGTCAGAGGAGGAGGTCAGAGGAGGAGGTCAGAGGAGGAGGACAGGCAGGAGGAGGACAGAGGAGGAGGACAGAGGAGGAGGCAGAGGAGGAGGGAGGAGGCAGAGGAGAGGACAGAGGAGGAGGCAGAGGAGGAGGACAGAGGAGGAGGTCAGAGGAGGAGGTCAGAGGAGGAGGACAGAGGAGGAGGACAGAGGAGGAGGACAGAGGAGGAGGACAGAGGAGGAGGTCAGAGGAGGAGGTCAGAGGAGGAGGTCAGAGGAGGAGGACAGAGGAGGAGGACAGAGGAGGAGGACAGAGGAGGAGGACAGAGGAGGAGGTCAGAGGAGGAGGACAGAGGAGGAGGACAGAGGAGGAGGACAGAGGAGGAGGACAGAGGAGGAGGTCAGAGGAGGAGGTCAGAGGAGGAGGTCAGAGGAGGAGGACAGAGGAGGAGGACAGAGGAGGAGGACAGAGGAGGAGGTCAGAGGAGGAGGTCAGAGGAGGAGGTCAGAGGAGGAGGTCAGAGGAGGAGGTCAGAGGAGGAGGTAGAGGGAAGAGGAGGAGGACAGAGGAGGAGGACAGAGGAGGAGGACAGAGGAGGAGGTCAGAGGAGGAGGTCAGAGGAGGAGGACAGAGGAGGAGGACAGAGGAGGAGGACAGAGGAGGAGGACAGAGGAGGAGGACAGAGGAGGAGGACAGAGGAGGAGGACAGAGGAGGAGGACAGAGGAGGAGGACAGAGGAGGAGGACAGAGGAGGAGGTCAGAGGAGGAGGTCAGAGGAGGAGGTCAGAGGAGGAGGACAGAGGAGGAGGACAGAGGAGGAGGACAGAGGAGGAGGTCAGAGGAGGAGGTCAGAGGAGGAGGTCAGAGGAGGAGGACAGAGGAGGAGGTCAGAGGAGGAGGTCAGAGGAGGAGGTCAGAGGAGGAGGACAGAGGAGGAGGACAGAGGAGGAGGACAGAGGAGGAGGACAGAGGAGGAGGTCAGAGGAGGAGGTCAGAGGAGGAGGACAGAGGAGGAGGTCAGAGGAGGAGGACAGAGGAGGAGGACAGAGGAGGAGGTCAGAGGAGGAGGACAGAGGAGGAGGACAGAGGAGGAGGACAGAGGAGGAGGACAGAGGAGGAGGTCAGAGGAGGAGGACAGAGGAGGAGGACAGAGGAGGAGGTCAGAGGAGGAGGACAGAGGAGGAGGACAGAGGAGGAGGACAGAGGAGGAGGTCAGAGGAGGAGGTCAGAGGAGGAGGACAGAGGAGGAGGTCAGAGGAGGAGGACAGAGGAGGAGGACAGAGGAGGAGGACAGAGGAGGAGGTCAGAGGAGGAGGTCAGAGGAGGAGGACAGAGGAGGAGGTCAGAGGAGGAGGACAGAGGAGGAGGACAGAGGAGGAGGTCAGAGGAGGAGGACAGAGGAGGAGGACAGAGGAGGAGGACAGAGGAGGAGGTCAGAGGAGGAGGTCAGAGGAGGAGGTCAGAGGAGGAGGACAGAGGAGGAGGTCAGAGGAGGAGGACAGAGGAGGAGGTCAGAGGAGGAGGTCAGAGGAGGAGGACAGAGGAGGAGGACAGAGGAGGAGGACAGAGGAGGAGGTCAGAGGAGGAGGTCAGAGGAGGAGGACAGAGGAGGAGGACAGAGGAGGAGGACAGAGGAGGAGGTCAGAGGAGGAGGTCAGAGGAGGAGGACAGAGGAGGAGGACAGAGGAGGAGGTCAGAGGAGGAGGACAGAGGAGGAGGACAGAGGAGGAGGTCAGAGGAGGAGGACAGAGGAGGAGGTCAGAGGAGGAGGACAGAGGAGGAGGACAGAGGAGGAGGACAGAGGAGGAGGACAGAGGAGGAGGTCAGAGGAGGAGGTCAGAGGAGGAGGACAGAGGAGGAGGTCAGAGGAGGAGGTCAGAGGAGGAGGACAGAGTATGGTAATCCAAATACTGCAGCTCGAGTTCTGACCATAGACTGTAAATATTAACGGACGTAGTCACGCTTATCTCCGCCGTTCAAACAAATGGGCCAAAAATAGTGCTCTACTGGAGCTATTCAAAATGGCCGCGAGTGGCCCCGCCCACAGGAAAATTGTGAAAAAACTCATCTGCGCATGTGTCAGCTGCACAAGCTCCATTCATTTGAACGAGAGACTTCAAAAATCACAACAACTAAACTAGAGTGGTCCAAAACACTCCCCTCAGCATTGACACACATGTGTGTGGAACCAAGAGCCACTTTGGGCCAAGAGCCAACTTTTGGACCGTCCTGTGAAGACGTTTTCCAGAGGTCTCCCAATGCTATATGTTAGCATTGGCTAATTCTTATTCTGGGTCCACCCCCATGGGCCCGGGGTGGTATTGCAGCATGTCAGCGCACGTCATTTTGGCCACTTTTGAGCCGGGACCCTCCCCCACTGGTCCTGACAAGAACCAGGAAGTAAACATCAGCCCAGTTCATAATAACAATAATAATGCATCAGTTTTATACAGCGCTTTTCAGAACATTCAAAGTCTGTTCACATCATTATTCATCCACTCCAAACAGTTTGGTTATAAACTACCACTGTGGCCACAGCTGCCCTCGGGCACCACCAACCGTTCACACACCCATAATGTGGGTGAAGTGTCTTGCCTAAGGACACAGCCGCAGCCGCCCACTCAATTGCAAACTGACAGAACTTCCTCACTCAAGCTCCTGATCTTTACTTTAGTCGTAACTTGTAAAAGTGCACTTCACAAAACCAGTCTTTCAGCCTGTACCTGTTCTGATGCGTCCGTCCTTCTCAGCGGGTCCCCCAGGAACAATGGAAGCCACAAAGATTCCCACGTCGTACCGTCCCACAGTGTCTTCCCCTACAATCACAATACCTGAACACACAATCACAGTACCTGAACACACTGAGTACCTGAACACACAATCACAGAACCTGAACACACAATCACAGTACATGAACACACAATCACAGTACCTGAACACACTGATTACCTGAACACACAATCACAGTACCTGAACACACAATCACAGTACCTGAACACACAATCACAATACCTGAACACACAATCACAGAACCTGAACACACAATCACAGTACCTGAACACACAATCACAGTACCTGAACACACAATCACAATACCTGAACACACAATCACAATACCTGAACACACAATCACAGAACCTGAACACACAATCACAGAACCTGAACACACAATCACGGTACCTGAACACACAATCACAGTACCTGAACACACTGAGTACCTGAACACACAATCACAGAACCTGAACACACAATTGCAATACCTGAACACACAATCACAGTACATGAACACACAATCACAGTACCTGAACACACAATCACAGTACCTGAACACACTGATTACCTGAACACACAATCACAGTACCTGAACACACAATCACAATACCTGAACACACAATCACAATACCTGAACACACAATCACAGAACCTGAACACACAATCACAGAACCTGAACACACAATCACAGTACCTGAACACACAATCACAATACCTGAACACACAATCACAATACCTGAACACACAATCACAGAACCTGAACACACAATCACAGAACCTGAACACACAATCACAATACCTGAACACACAATCACAGTACCTGAACACACAATCACAGAACCTGAACACACAATCACAATACCTGAACACACAATCACAATACCTGAACACACAATCACAGTACCTTGAACACACAATCACAATACCTGAACACACAATCACAATACCTGAACACACAATCACCATACCTGAACACACAATCACAGAACCTGAACACACAATCACAGAACCTGAACACACAATCACAGTACCTGAACACACAATCACAATACCTGAACACACAATCACAATACCTGAACACACAATCACAGAACCTGAACACACAATCACAGAACCTGAACACACAATCACAATACCTGAACTAGGGCTGGGACAACGCGTCGACGTAATCGGTGACGTCGACGCAAAAAATACACCGACGTATAATATGCGCGTCGGTGCGTCACACACAAAACAAAGATGGCGGCGAGCGGTAGCAATGCGAGTGCCGTAGAGAAGTGCAAGCCGGTGTAACGCTGAGATACACTGTCTTGAAGAGATGCACAGCCTCAGCTGTTTATCATGTAATGCAAACCTGCGCATGCGCGTCTCACGGCAACCGAAGCATACCAAGATGGCGGACCGTGAATTTCTTTAAAAGTTAAAATACGAACGAATTCAGACACAAATGTCACTTTTAATGCAATTTGAGGCGAGATGTGGATGGTTCCGTTTTGTCACATGTGGGTTTTAAGAGTCAAAGTTTCGTGCAAAGTTTAGTTTAAGCAGTCAACTACGCCTGTGAAACCACAAAGCTAATGTTTTCATAGCAGTCCGTGGCTGCTGACGTAGGCTGATGACGCGTCCTGTGGCCACTCTACAGCTTACAACTGGTCTGTCTTTCTTTGTATCAAACGGAATATTGGCGCCCGTAATAGCCCCTACATGTATTATTCACTGTCATGTATATGGACATTTTTCAACATGTGTTCAATATCCTTAATGTGTTTAACTGTTGATTGATTCTCTGATCTGTGTTGGTGACTTCAATGTTGTTTTAAGTCCTCTGAGATGACTTCTACTGTATTCTTTCAGTAACTCTAAAAGAAAGGATGACTGGTTGACCTTTTTATTTGCTACACAATGCATTGTTTTTCTCTTGTACACTCTTACTTGAATTTTATTTTTGAATTTTGAGTTTAAGAAAAAGGTGAGTGGCAGAGTTTTTGGCTGAACCTTTTCATATTTTTATTGAATGCTAAGCATCAAATGTTTGTTTCAAGAATGATAAGATGCACTTTTTTCAGTAAGCTGTGTTTTCAAGGCTTTAAGGTTTTATGCTACCTCTAAGAATGTCTTATTTTTTAATTTTAAGAGCAAGCAATAAATATTTTTTGTGAAGGAATTCATGTTTTTTTCATTAAAATATTTAAATCAACATGTATACATCAATATTAGTCAATTAATGGGGAGATAATCAAGAATCGAATCGAAGGGAAAAAAATAATCGTTAGATTAATCGATGCATCGAAAAAATAATCGTTAGATTAATCGTTTAAAATATAATCGTTTATCCCAGCCCTAACCTGAACACACAATCACAGTACCTGAACACACAATCACAGAACCTGAACACACAATCACAGAACCTGAACACACAATCACAATACCTGAACACACAATCACAATACCTGAACACACAATCACAGAACCTGAACACACAATCACAGTACCTGAACACACTGAGTACCTGAACACACAATCACAAAACCTGAACACACAATCGCAATACCTGAACACACAATCGCAATACCTGAACACACAATCACAATACATGAACACACAATCACAGTACCTGAACACACTGATTACCTGAACACACAATCACAGTACCTGAACACACAATCACAGAACCTGAACACACAATCACAGAACCTGAACACACAATCACAGTACCTGAACACACAATCACAGTACCTGAACACACAATCACAATACCTGAACACACAATCACAATACCTGAACACACAATCACAGAACCTGAACACACTGGGTACCTGAACACACAATCACAGAACCTGAACACACAATCGCAATACCTGAACACACAATCACAGTACATGAACACACAATCACAGAACCTGAACACACAATCACAGTACCTGAACACACAATCACAGTACCTGAACACACAATCACAATACCTGAACACACAATCACAATACCTGAACACACAATCACAGAACCTGAACACACTGAGTACCTGAACACACAATCACAGAACCTGAACACACAATCGCAATACCTGAACACACAATCACAGTACATGAACACACAATCACAGTACCTGAACACACTGATTACCTGAACACACAATCACAGTACCTGAACACACAATCACAATACCTGAACACACAATCACAATACCTGAACACACAATCACAGTACCTGAACACACAATAACCATACCTGAACACACAATCACAGTACCTGAACACACAATCACAATACCTGAACACACAATCACAATACCTGAACACACAATCACAATACCTGAACACACAATCACCATACCTGAACACACAATCACAGAACCTGAACACACAATCACAGAACCTGAACACACAATACATGAACACACAATCATAATACCTGAACACACAATCACAGAACCTGAACACACAATCACAGAACCTGAACACACAATCACAATACCTGAACACACAATCACAGTACCTGAACACACAATCACAGAACCTGAACACACAATTACAATAGCTGAACACACAATCACAATACCTGAACACACAATCACAATACATGAACACACAATCACAGTACATGAACACACATTCACAGTACCTGAACACACTGAGTACCTGAACACACAATCACAGAATCTGAACACACAATCGCAATACCTGGACACACAATCACAGAACCTGAACACACAATCACAAAACCTGAACACACAATCAAAATACCTGAACACACAATCACAGTACCTGAACACACAATCACCATACCTGAACACACAATCACAGAACCTGAACACACAATCACAATACCTGAACAGACAATCACAGAACCTGAACACACAATCACAGAACCTGAACACACAATCACAATACCTGAACACACAATCACAATACCCGAACACACAATCACAGAACCTGAAGACACAATCACAATACCTGAACACACAATCACAATACCTGAACACACAATCACAATACCTGAACACACAATCACCATGCCTGAACACACAATCACAATACCTGAACACACAATCACCATGCCTGAACACACAATCACAATACCCGAACACACAATCACAGAACCTGAAGACACAATCACAATACCTGAACACACAATCACAATACCTGAACACACAATCACAATACTTGAACACACAATCACCATGCCTGAACACACAATCACAATACCTGAACACACAATCACCATGCCTGAACACACAATCACAATACCTGAACACACAATCACAATACCTGAACACACAATCACCATACCTGAACTCACAATCACAGAACCTGAACACACGATCACAATACCTGAACACACAATCACCATACCTGAACACACAATCACAGAACCTGAACACACAATCACAATACCTGAACACACAATCACAATACCTGAACACACAATCACAATACCTGAACACACAATCACCATACCTGAACACACAATCACAGAACCTGAACACACGATCACAATACCTGAACACACAATCACCATACCTGAACACACAATCACAGAACCTGAACACACAATCACAATACCTGAACACACAATCACAATACCTGAACACACAATCACCATACCTGAACCAACAACCACAGTACCTGAACACACAACCACAGTCAGATGTTAGAGGAACACATTAAAGGGGAACTAAACTCACCCAGGCCGAGTTTCGGGTCCTTTTTCAGCGTGACACAGATGACCTCCCTCTCTGACGACACGCCCAGTTTAGGGGGAGTTTCTGTCGGGAACATCATGATTTATAAATGATGTGAATAAGAGATGTGTGGGGGTGTGTGTACATGTGTGTGTGTGTGTGTGTGTTTATGTTAATGTTGCTGTGCACTGTCCCTCTCAAATAAAGACTAAACTAAACTAAAGGCAATTGTAAATACAGAGGCAAACATGTGTGTACTTGTGTGTGTGTACATGTGTGTGTGTGTGTGTGTGTGTGTGTGTGTGTGTGTGTAGGTGTGTTTGTCTTGCCTTGGGAGGATCGCTACCTGACAGCACACTCACGGGGTGTGTGTGTAGGTGTGTGTACTTGTGTGTGCGTGTGTACGTGTGTACATGTGTGTGTGTGTGTGTGTGTGTGTGTGTGTGTGTATGTGTGTGTGTAGGTGTGTTTGTCTTGCCTTGGGAGGATCGCTACCTGACAGCACACTCACGGGGTGTGTGTGTAGGTGTGTGTACTTGTGTGTGCGTGTGTACGTGTGTACTTGTGTGTGCGTGTGTGTGTGCGTGTACGTGTATGTGTGCGTGTACGTGTATGTGTGTGTGTGTGTAGGCAGGTTACCTCTGGCAGCAGGAGATCCAGAGGGTGCTTCAGATCCGCTCCTCTGAGAACAGGACGGAGAGCGCATCCCTGTGCTGCTGCGCTGGCTACTGGAGCACGTACTGCACAACACACACAGTCCAATGTAATAATAATAATAATGATAATAATAATGTAGCAGCGGTTTTATTAAGTGCTTTTTAGACACTCAAAGGTGCTTCACATGTCATTATTCTTTCACTCCAAACATGGTGGTGATCGTATTGTAGCCACAGCTGCCCTGGGGCACACTGACAGAAGCGAGGCAACCAGTCTGTGCCATCGGCCCCTCCCACCATCAACCAACCAATCACAATGTGGGTGAAGTGTTTTACTGAAGGACTTTTCCTATGTGTAGTTTATTTCTATGCCATTTCAATTAAATTATCATTTTATTTCAAAATTAAGTAGTTTAAGATGTCCAAATGGACTTAGTAGTTTAGTCCTCTTTCAGTCAAAATGTGTCTTAAAGGAGCAGTGTGTAAAAATGCGGCCAAAAGTGGTACTGCAGCCTCTCCCACTCTCCCTGACTCAGGTTGCCAGATATGCAGACGAATCCAGCTGGGACCATAACAGCTGAATAGACAAGAGTTTTGTCAACAACAAATCTATAACCAACACCTTTTTCACAAAGATAGAAATCCTGGTTTTATTCCTTGTTTTGTTGTTAATGATTTGAGAATCATAACAAGACCTTTTTTAGTTCTGTGCCACATGGTACTTTACCAGTGAGATTAGCTCCACGCCGTGACTTCTGGTGCCCGGATCACAGACTTTCTGATTGGTGAAACAGTGAAGGGCGTGACACCAAAATGAAAACAATAACAAGGCTGTAAAAGTAATTTAGAAATTCAAATATCTCTGAACTACTGTTATTAGTTAAAGAAGTATTGGAAAAGAGCATATTTTATTAAAGCCTTTCGATAGATTAGGGCCCTTTAAGGACGACAGATTAGGGCCCTTTAATGACGACAGATTAGGGCCCTTTAATGACGACAGATTAGGGCCCTTTAATGACGACAGATTAGGGCCCTTTAATGATGACAGATTAGGGCCCTTTAATGACGACAGATTAGGGCCCTTTAATGATGACAGATTAGGGCCCTTTAATGACGACAGATTAGGGCCCTTTAATGATGACAGATTAGGGCCCTTGAATGATGACAGCCTGAGTCCTGGATCTACAGCCTGTCTCTTCGTGGGAGCGGATCCCTCTCACACTGAGTCGTTCCTGGGGCAGTACCTGGGCTCGGTGAGGCTGGATCTGTTGGTCTTGATACGAGCCTGGATCCTGGCGGTGACATCATCGCAGAGTTTGGACATGGGCTCCTCCTGAGGCGTGGTCAGGCCGCTGTCGTCCTGAGGCGTCTCTGAGCAGGAGTAGGACTTCAGGCGGCTGCTCTGGGTGTGGCGTCCCGGGCTGTACGGCCCCATGCTGTCGTCTGGGGCCATAGAACACATGTTAGGGTTAGGGTTACTGACTGAGCGCTAATGTCAGCCCCAGTGTAAAACCATTGACTGTGAATATCAACGGATGTAGTCACGCCTATCTCTGTTTTAAAACTAATGTGACATCACTTTTGGCTTTGATGGGGCTATTTCAAAATGGCCACGAGCAGCCCCTCCCACAGGAAAATGGTGGTCAATAGTCAATTCCCTCTAAATCAAGAAAGCTAAGTATTGTGGGAGATGAATGTGTTTTATGAATTATTATGAGGTATAGTATGTTTTTGAATGTGATCATGACTCGTATTCCTTTAAATAGGGGAAGTCATAAATAAGTAATCAGATGGAAAAAGATTCAATTGCCACATATAAACATGAATCGGGCCGCATGTAGCCCCCGGGCCACACTTTGCACGGGTCTGTTTTAAATAAAGCACTTCTTTCAATCAATCAAACCAATCAAGCACTATACATTCCATACAATTGTTTCTTGTACTGTTTAGCTTGTTCTATGTATGTACTTTGCACATGTATTCCAATGTGGTTTTACTGCAAATGTCAAATAAACTGAATCATAGACTGTAAATAATCTGAATCTAAGTCGGAAGCATTTTGTGTACTGTCCCCAGAATTGGTTTATGTCCTGTCTAGAAGTTTCTCTGGGCCAAAAGAATAATATCGTCTCCATAACTGACCTGAGATCAGGTTGTGGCTGAGTTTGCGGGAGCTCATCTCGTTGTTGAACTTGTGCTGAGCTGAACACAGGTCGCACAGGTACTTGGCAATCTTCGACCTCTCAGTCACAAAGGCATATTTCTTCTTACTGCCTCGGCACTCGATGATGAACTTGCACCTCTGCAAAAACAACGTTTGTCATTCAAAAGCAGAAAATAAGCTAACAGTGAATGAGTCATGGAAGCTAACGGTGAAAGAGACATGGAAGATAACAGTGAATGAGTCATGGAAGCTAACGATGAAGCTGTTAAACTTAATTGTGATCAATTAAAACAGTTGTCTCTCTGCTACATTCCAACACAAATGACATTGATTTTCTTTTCAAATGTAGGACGTACTGCTTATATACAGGTACAGCTTATATACAGGTGTGGCTTATATACAGGTGCGGCTTACATACAGGTGTGGCTTATATAAAAGTGCGGCTTATATATAGGTGCAGCTTATACACAGGGGTGGCTTATATACAGGTGCATCTTATATGCAGGTGCGGCTTATACACAGGGGTGGCTTATATACAGGTGTGGCTTATATACAGGTGCGGTTTATATACAGGTGCGGCTTATATGCAGGTGCGGCTTATATGCAGGGTTGGTTTATGTACATGTGCGGCTTATAAACAGGTGCGGCTTATATGCAGGTACGGCTTATAAAAAAATGGGGCTTATAAACAGGTGCGGTTTATATGCAGGTGTGCGGCTTATAGTCCAGAGAGAACGGTACACAGTGCATAAGTTTGGCCCAGGCTCCTGTTCTCTTCCTGGGTGTGAAACTGGGATTGTGTTTGTGGGTTTGCGGCGGTCTCACGGTGGAGGAGATGGTGGCCGTCTCTCTCCAGTAGAAGGTTTGGTGGGCGGAGCGGGAGCCGTCTTTGGCTTCGTAGACGATGACTCCTTTGGCACAGACTCCCAGCAGGATCTCTCCTTCCAAAGACCTCTTCTCTCGCGTCGCACGGTGGAGAAACACCCCAAACTCAGGCAGCTGCTGGCAGACCTGCACCGTCACACACAGAAGGGCACATTTTTACACTGCAGAACAGGATGAAAGATAAGTAAAAAATAACTCAAATTTGGCTAAATATGTCTTAAAGGAGCCGTAGGTAAAAATCTGGCCAAAAGTGGTACTGCAGATTCTCCCACTCTCCCTGACTCAGGTTGCCAGATATGCAGACAAATCTAGCTGGGACCATAACAGCTGAATAGACAAGAGTTTTGTCAACAGCAAATCTATAACCAACACCTTTTTCACAAAGATAGAAATCCTGGTTTTATTCCTTGTTTTGTCGTTAATGATTTGAGAATCATAACGAGACCTTTTTTAGTTCTGCGCCACATGGTACTTTACCAGTGAGATTAGCTCGACGCGGTGAGTTCTGGCGCGCCGGCCTTTATTCTTTAGAAGTGTTTTTTTTTCTCATTTTTATTATCTCTTTCTGACTGTTGCACTGAGCCAAAGCAATTTCCAAGTCTGTGACCTCCTGTTACTTACGTGGCAATAAAAATGATTCTGATTCTGATCACAGACTTTCTGATTGGTGAAACGGTGGAGGGCGGGACATCAAAATGAAAACAATAACCGGATTTAGGGGCTGTAAAAGTAATTTAGAAATTCAAATATCTCTGAACTAATGTTATCAGTTAAAGATAAAGAAAAGAGAATGTTTTTACCTTTTGAAAGATTAGGGCCCTTTAATGATGACTCGACATGAAAATCTTACATTTTGCTACTTTAATTTGAGCACATTTTGACATAATTTGCCAATGGGACAAACAAAATGGTCTTGTTTTAAAATGATACACTTGGATCCCTTGGCATCCCTTGATTTGCTTTGTCTCACAGTGCAAACAAGTTATAAAAGTAAACATAGAAAAAGGCATGCGTAAAAGTAATTGAACATAGAGGATACAATGCGTGTGATAGTCAGAGCAGCAAACTAAAATACTTCCTAAAGGAGGACCTTGAGAAACTCCAGCTCGGACTCCTCTGGCAGCATCTGTGCATTGTTGGTGTGAAGTCGCAGCAGTTCTTCCTGAATGTAGGGCAAGGCACGTTTCTCCATCACGCTTTTGCACACGTACTGGTCGGGACGGTAGTAGTTTCTGCCGAACATCTAGAATGAAAATACACAGTTGCAGATTTTCACACTTACAAAACGCTTCACCAGTCTGTCCAGAAAAGGTAGATACACTTTGTAAAATACCTCACTTTAGGCCTAGGGTAGGTGCAATAAAAGACCTCACTTTAGGCCTAGGGTAGGTGCAATAAAAGACCTCACTTTAGGCCTAGGGTAGGTGCAATAAAATACCTCACTTTAGGCTTAGGGTAGGTGCAATAAAAGACCTCAATTAAAAAAAAAACGACTGATATGAAACACTAATATTGTGATATATTTTTCATTTGCACTCCTGAAACCTCGCACAGCTGGGACAGAGACAACAAAAATAAGACTTAATGGCTTTGTCCCATTGGAGAATCTTGGTTCTAAAACTGTCAGAATGTGTTTAGAATAAGACAAAGCTACTCAATTATCACCTTATATTTTATCTTTTTTTGGAGCGGACCTTCCCTGGTTCTTGTACTGAGTATATAGCGACTGCTGCCCCGCGACCCGGCAACGGATGAAGCGGAAGAAAATGAATGGATGGATGCATGAAGGGAGCTTCTGAAATGATCCATCATATGACATAAACACTCCTCTTCACAAATCGCAAGTCCAGTATTTGTTCTTCTTGCATTTCCCTTTATGTCCATCTCATGGTCACAGCCCTAAGCATGATAATTAAATTGTCGCCCGATTTTCCTAACCTGAGAGACCCCACCTGAGATCAGAGCAGTCCTTAAGTCCTTCAGATTGACGCAGTCTTAACACACCACACATGGAAAATCCATCACATTTTTTTACGGAAATCTGAGCGTTTTTCAGATTGTCGTTAGGGGTAAATCGGGTCTTAAATCGGCCTGATTATTGCCGTGTGAATTAGGCTTTATTGCCTTTGATTATTCAAGGTTCCCCAATGACTGTGTTTATGCAGAATTACACTCCGGCCAGCAGGGGGCCGTGACCTAAAAATCCGAGTCCCTGACCTCAGAGCAGTCTCCGTACTCGGCCTGCAGAGCCAGAGCTCCCAGGTACAGAGCGGTCTCCTCGTGGCAGGCCAGCCGGTCCTCCAGCAGGTCCCTGCGCAGCTGCAGGTAGTACTGGTGCCGTGTCTGCTTGTGCCTGGAGCAGACGCAGAGAAACAGCATCAAATATCAACGTCTGTGAATAATCATCAGGGTGTAATGAAGCAGGACTTACAACAGCAGTGACATATCATTGACAAAGAACTTGACTCTAAAGAAAAGGACAAATGTGGTGGTAGGCACTTTCTTCCAGGAGTCTGGGGCAACTTTGGAGATTTTTGTGTCGTTCTCCACAAAGAAAAACTCATTATCTGAAAAGAGAAGGTATAAATAAAGACAAATGAGAGTAACACTCGTTGTCTGGACTGTTAAAGCTAAGATTTGTACGATTGTTTGACACGTTTTGGCCAGTAGATGAGAAAAATCTATTCTGTTCAGTTTTGTGAGTAAGTTGCGCACACAATGAAATCGATACAGTAGTATAGCAATATTTAATCACATAATTATCTGTTTCACTTTAGTTTCCTCTGATCATTTCCATCTGAGGTTCCTCTATGACGTCTTGTTGTGACTCTATGATGTCTGCTTGTTGTGACTCTATGATGTCTTGTTGTGACTCTATGATGTCTGCTTGTTGTGACTCTATGATGTCTTGTTGTGACTCTATGATGTCTGCTTGTTGTGACTCTATGATGTCTTGTTGTGACTCTATGTCTGCTTGTTGTGACTCTATGATGTCTTGTTGTGACTCTATGACGTCTGCTTGTTGTGACTCTATGATGTCTGCTTGTTGTGACTCTATGACGTCTGCTTGTTGTGACTCTATGACGTCTGCTTGTTGTGACTCTATGACGTCTGCTTGTTGTGACTCTATGACGTCTGCTTGTCGTGACTCTATGATGTCTGCTTGTTGTGACTCTTATGACGTCTGCTTGTTGTGACTCTATGACATCTGCTTGTTGTGACTCTATGACGTCTGCTTGTTGTGACTCTATGACATCTGCTTGTTGTGACTCTATGATGTCTGCTTGTTGTGACTCTATGACATCTGCTTGTTTTGACTCTATGTCTGCTTGTTTTGACTCTATGATGTCTACCTCCATGTTTGTAATGTCTTGACTAATAAGACATGATTGACAATATATCATAGAATCAAATCACAAAACTTGCTGTATCGCGATATGTAAAGAATCACAATAATACTGAGTTGTGACCCAAATATTGCAATACTATGGAATTGTCACATTTTCGCCCATTCCCAGCCCTATAGATGAGATATATGAAACCTACACGTCCAATACTAACGGCTTATTAACAGAGCAAGCGAGGTTAATAAATGTTTTATTATATGACTCTCGTCTGTGTCTCTTCCAATGCTTTTGAGATATATGTGAAGTATGTTCATGTCCGACTTAGTTTTCCTTATCGTGTTTTTAGTGTGATACGCGCTGAGGACCGATTGTCATGGTAACGATCCGAGGAAACATATCAAATCTGATACTCGCTGCGGACCAATTGTCATGGTAACGGTCCGAGATGGGAAAATATCAGACCGCAAATCAGCCAATCAGAGCGCGCGTATGGTCCAAGTCATATAATACTGTGGTATATTTTCTTCTTTACCGTCGATATAAGCAAGGCCAAAGTAGAAATGCTCCACGAGGTTTGCGTGGGCCACGATCATGTCGAAGACGTCTCCTCCTCTGGACTTGACCTCACACTTGACCTGGATGCTCTGACCACTGGGCATCACCACACTCAGCTCCCTCTGGGTGGTCAGCGACTTCCCCTTCTTGGACTGAACGCCATCATGAAGACGATACAGTTAGAATGATACTGTTCACTCGCTCAAAGGTACACACTAACAAATACAGTACACACTACATTATAATACCACGATTAAAATATATGGTAACACTTTAGATTAGACCTCACTGATTAACGGCTAAGTAAGTGCTAAAGAGTGTACCCTAACCCTAAGGGGAAGTTTAAGTTAGTAGTGGAGAATAAGAATGAAGAGCTAATTAACCATCAATGATACCCCAATTAGCACTAAATTAACTAAAGTGTGACCAAAAGAGGTTGCTTTTTTACTGCAGGCAAGACGCAATTGACAAAAGAGTTTTTCAATAGTTTTGATTTTACCACGTCAACCTGCTGTGGATTATATATTAACCTTACAGTACTTTAGAATTTACCAATATTCACATTTTTTTTACATCCAAAACTTACCACGATAGATCCAGGTAGTTCTACAACAGCCGGTGGCTCATCCAACAGCCGCAGAAACTCTGGTCCTATGTCCTGAAACATACATTGTTGTACATTTACTACATTACATACAATGTTGCTCGGCTGCAGATAAAACAGACTCAAAACTGACAGTGTTAGACGGTGTAAAGAAGGTTTCTGTGGTAGACCTCCGCCTTCATCAGAGGGTGTGACGTGTTTCTGATCACCAGATGTATTGAGTCGGACAGATCCATCAGACTGACCATGCCCCTCAGACTGACCACGCCCCCTCCTATGCGCTGTTCTCTCTGGAGAAGTGAGTCCCAAGTGTGAGACCAGGCATAGACCCGCTCGGCTCTGTTGATGGTCCGTGCACCCCGCTTCCTGACTTTAATCGGCTCTCGTCTCCATCTTTTGTATTTATGTGCTCAAAGCACATGTAGCATTAGTTGATCCGCCGCCATTGTTCTCGGCGACTGCACATGTCACATGTACGGGGGAGAAGTGCTGAGGTCATCGCAGCCAGAGAGTTCACACCTATTTCTTCACATGGCTCTGAAACAGCCGCCGTCGCACAGTGTATCTGTTTATTTCCACTCTGGAGGCCGTTTCTGAACGCTTGCAATCTCAGTCCGTGAAACACTGTCGCTGTGTCAACAAAAGGCCACTACGATGCTCAACTCTATAGTTTTACTGTCCAAAGTGTAAGGGGGGCCTGAGGGATCGCTCAGATCTGGCCACATCTGGAACAACGGCTGATAAGAAACACGTCACACCAACTTTAACGAAGGCAGAAGTCTGATACAGAAACATGTGGTTATTAAGCAGAACTCGCTTCTTTACACTTTTGTCATCTGAGCAATAAACAAAAGAAGATTTACATTTAGAATGGTTTAAACTGGTTGTATGTCCCTGACCTTGAGTTTCTTGTCGCTGAGGCTGATGCTGGAGTTGAACTGTGAGAGGGACCTGGAGTTGGTGTGGCGACTCCCGTCCAGATAAGGGCTGCGGGGCAACTGCTGCCAGCTGCAGAAGGAGTCTCTGTGCCGCACAGAGTTCCTGCAGAGACATGGATCCTTTTACTCTAACACGTCAGAGTCAAACTGTGGTGCAGCCTCAGGCCGGCTCTTACCCCGACGGGTCAGACGGAGCGTAAAGTGTAGGAGTCTTTTGCTTTAAGGCCCATGAAGAGTTAAAGGACGTTCCTAAAACAAACCAGAAAGATGAAAAGTGAGATAAACAGAATAATGAATAAGGGCAGAGGACAGTGCGAGCAGTCTGCTGAAAGGTTGGGCGCTCCCCGAGAGATAAGGTCAGGAACACACTTACACGAGAGTTACAGGTATTCATGTACTGTCCATAGACTGTATTGCCCACCATTATAGGGTTCCAATCACGTGACCTAAAGGGGGTGTAGCTTGGGGCTGTAGGACAGGAAGTGTTTCTGTCCCATTAGTTAGCCAAAAACAGGCACATCGGAGTTACACAGACGTTACATAATCGCTACACATGCTACACGGATACTCCACAGATGCTACGCAGGATAAGCCATTTCTACCGTTACTTTTTTAGGTTGTTTCCTAAAAAATGACACCAATATAGTACATTGCCAAAATAGACTCCATTAGTTCTTCACTTGATACGAGCGGTTGCTAACACAAACTGCTCATGCCACAGAAAAGGAACATTTTGACTCAGAATCATTGAAGATTTACATGGTTCTTAATGGAACCCAGCAATACCTGAAGTTTGAGGTTCACAGGTAGGGTCGCATATGAGATAAGAGTTCCTTTATTTGTCCCACAATGGGGACATTTCGGTGTTGACGTTTTTTCCGTTTTCCTCAAGAAATAAAAGTCAACGTATCCAAAGTCATTCAGTTTTTATTTACTCCATCAAATTTGATAAGCAGAATTCATAATAACGTAGACGTACATAATCCGTAACACTATGGCTGTATCTCAAAAAGTTGACCCGATAGAGCAAAATGCATGTGATATTCGGGGTGGCACGGTGGCTGAGTGGATAGCACTCTCGCCTCTCAGTTAGAAGGTCCTGGGTTCGAGACCCGGTTGGACCAGGGCCTTTCTGAGTGGAGTTTGCATGTTCTCCCCGTGTCTGCGTAGGTTTCCTCCGGGTGCTCCGGTTTCCCCTACCACTAAAAATAGGTACAATAGGTCTGGCATGTGCCTCCTGTACTGGCCCCGCTCCCAAAAATAACAATTGTAAACCGCTTTGAGACTCCAATGTGCAGTGAAAAGGCGGTATATAAATAAAGATTACTTACTTACTATTCGGACTCAGAACACCAACATTAGTCTAAATCAGTTGAGAAACCCCTGCCCATTTTTTGGCTGTCAACTTGTTTAATAAGTAGATAAAGTAAAGTGACACTGTTCTGTGATATTCTGAAGTTGCAGTATTGCACATTGCACATGATATTAGTATTTACTTATTTACAGATTAATGAAATTTACAGGCTCAGCAGTTTTCATTGTACAGTCTGACAGCAGCAGGAAGGAAAGACCTCCGGAACCTCTCCTTCACACAGCGAGGGTGAATCAGTCTGTCACTGTGGTTTATCCAAGAAGTGTGGATGGTTATGTGGATTGTGCACAGTACGTGGAAAATACTGGGATCACTCTTGCACCGCAGAGACGATGGTGTTATAAATGAAAGCACGAGAGTCGGTGGATTTTCCCAGTTCCACAGCTAAGCTACGTGGCTAAGAAAGATAAAATGCACTATAATCATTGGTCTGAACTGTCCCTGAATCAGCACTCACTGTGTAATCTGTCCCGGACCATCTGGCTGCGGTCCGTCAGCTGCGATCCACTCTCAGAAGCAGACACACTATCCACCTGGAGGCAACAAAACTCACAATCACTGACAAACACACACAGGTCATACAATATCGACCACACAGAGATGGATAATCCGGTTTTTGCCCCATAGCAACAATCCCATTGCATTCTCTGTCTGGTCTCTCTCTCTCTAGACTCTGATATTGTCTCTCTCTCTCTGGTCTCTCTCTTGTCTCTCCCTGGTCTCACTCTCTGGTCTCTCTCTCTGGCCTCTCTCTCTGGCCTCTCTCTCTGGTCTCTCTGCTGCCTCTGGTCTTTCTCTCTGGTCTCACTCTCTGGTCTCTCTCCTGGTCTCTCTCTCTGGCCTCTCTCTGGTCTCTCTGGTGCCTCTGGTCTCTCTCTCTGGTCTCTCGCTCTGGTCTCTCTGGTGCCTCTGGTCTCTCTCTCTGGTCTCTCTTTAGTCTGTCTTACCCAGTCTCTCTCTCTGGTCTCTCTCTGGTCTCTCTTTGGTCTCTCTCTGGTCTCTCTCTGGTCTCTCCCTGGTCTCACTCTCTGGTCTCTCTCTCTGGCCTCTCTCTCTGGTCTCTCTGCTGCCTCTGGTCTTTCTCTCTGGTCTCACTCTCTGGTCTCTTCTCTGGTCTCTCTCTGGTCTCTCTCTGGTCTCTCTCTCTGGTCTCTCTCTGGTCTCTCTCTGCCTCTGGTCTTTCTCTCTGGTCTCACTCTCTGGTCTCTCTCTGGTCTCTCTCTCTGGCCTCTCTCTGGTCTCTCTGGTGCCTCTGGTCTCTCTCTCTGGTCTCTCGCTCTGGTCTCTCTGGTGCCTCTGGTCTCTCTCTCTGGTCTCTCTCTGGTCTCTCTTACTGGTCTCTCTCTCTGGTCTCTCTCTGGTCTCTCTCTGGTCTCTCTCTGGTCTCTCTCTCTGGTCTCTCTCTTACTGGTCTCTCTCTCTGGTCTCTCTCTCTGGTCTCTCTCTCTGGTCTCTCTCTGGTCTCTCTCTTGTCTCTCTCTCTGGTCTCTCTCTGGTCTCTCTCTGGTCTCTCTCTCTGGTCTCTCTCTGGTCTCTCTCTGGTCTCTCTCTGGTCTGTCCTCTGGTCTTTCTCTCTGGTCTCTCTCTGGTCTCCTCTCTGGTCTCTCTCTGGTTTCTCTCTCTGGTCTCTCTCTGGTCCCTCTCTTGTCTCTCTGGTCTCTCTCTGGTCTCTCTCTCTTGTCTCTCCCTGGTCTGTCTTTCTGGTCTCTCTCTTGTCTTTCCCTGGTCTCTCTCTCTGGTCTCTCTCTCTTGTCTCTCTCTTGTCTCTCCCTGGTCTCTCTCTCTCTCTGGTCTCCCCCTTGTCCCTCTCTTGTCTCTCTAGTCTCTCCCTTCTCTCTCTCTCTTGTCTCTCCCTGGTCTCTCTCTCTGGTCTCCCCCTTGTCCCTCTCTTGTCTCTCTGGTCTCCCCCTTGTCCCTCTCTTGTCTCTCTAGTATCTCCCTTCTCTCTCTCTCTTGTCTCTCCCTGGTCTCTCTCTCTCTCTGGTCTCCCCCTTGTCCCTCTCTTGTCTCTCTGGTCTCCCCCTTGTCCCTCTCTTGTCTCTCTGGTCTCCCCCTTGTCCCTCTCTTGTCTCTCTAGTCTCTCCCTTCTCTCTCTCTCTTGTCTCTCCCTGGTCTCTCTCTCTGGTCTCCCCCTTGTCCCTCTCTTGTCTCTCGTCTCTCCCTGGTCTCTCTCCCTGGTCTCTCTTTCTGGTCTCTCTCTCTGGTCTCTCTCTTGTCACCTCGAGGTCTCTCTCTCTACCTGTTTGTGTGTATTTCCTTCTGTGCCTGTGCACCACTCTGGGCAGCTGGCGTTGTCGTACATGTGCCATACAAATAAATCTCCCCTGTCCCTTCAGTAAAACCCACCGTGCTCTTGCAGACGTCCTCCACCAGTTGGCGCACACAGCGCTGGGCGGGGGGCAGCATGGCGGTCCGCTGGTGCAGCTCGCAGCTCTCCAGGACGGACAGCAGCTCTGGCCTCCGCCCACTCACCTCCTCACACATGCTCAACAGCACCCCCTCCAGGTCTGCACTCAACTGCACCGGCTGAGACACACACACACACACACGCAAAGACACGCACACACACAGACACAGAGACACACACACAAAGACATACAGACACACACACACACACAAAGACACGCACACACACAGACACCGAGACACACACACAAAGACATACAGACACACACAAAGACATACAGACACACAAACACACACACACACACACACACAGACACGCACACACACAGAGACACACACACACACAAAGACATACAGACACACACACACACAAAGACACAGAGACACACACACACAAAGACACACACACACACCCACACACACACACAAAGACACAGAGACACACACACAGGGGTTTCAGTTAGTACTTCAAACCATCAATCAATCAATCCACTACAAAGTTACAACACAAAGCGCCGCACAACCCATATGCACATCATGCATAAGGCCCGGGGGCCAGACGCGGCCCACAAATGAATTTTCTTGGCCCCCGAGATGATATTTGATTTGTATTAGAACCAGCCGCACAGAGACATAAGAAAATACTGGATTATTCATTGAATGTTCAGGACGTGTGTTTTCTCTTTGAAGGAAGATCTCGGAGCTGTTAAATATTGGATTATTTTTTCAATAATTTAATAAAATACGGTACATTGTAACATCTTGATTCAATAGGATATATACAATCATTTTAATATGTTTAATAAATATAGATTATTAATATTATTCCCACCTCTGCACCTTCTCCACCGACTCCCACTGATGACTGCTGTCGTTGTGTCCTTGGGCAAGACACTTAACCCCACTTTGCCCAAAGCCCCCACTGAAAGATCAAGGCTATGCTCACACTCAGAGCAGCCGTCCTCCTGTGGACTCACCACCTGCAGAGGGTCAGTGAGGGGCTGGTGCTATGAGACTTGGGTGGCATCTCTGACTGCCACCCCCCTGACCCAGAAATGGATTAAAGGGTAGAAAATGGATGGATGGATGGATGGAATAAATATAGAGCCAGTCCGGCCCTCGGCCCATTTGTTTCTTTGGCCTCTGATGTTTTTGACGTTGACATTCCTGATGGAGCTGATATTGTTGATGTGTCTTGTGCAGATTTGAAGTAAATAAATTCATTTAAAAACCTGGTTTGGAGGTAGCTGGTAGTCCACACACCAGTAAAGAGTCATCCCCACTGAGTACACCACCATCTGAGCAAAAGCAAGATCAAAACATAGTTATTTTATTGACTTTAAAAGGAACTGTTGTTATGTCTGAGATGGTTTTATAAAGAAGCAGTGAAAGTATTTTAACATAATGATAATAAAAATAATACATTGTCTTTATACAGCGCTCAGAGACGTCATTATTCTTTCACTCCAAACACAGTGGTGACAGTGGGCAACAGTAGCCACAGCTGCCCTGGGGCACACTGACAAAAGCGTGGCAACCACACTGCAAAAAGTCGCTCAAAAAAAATCAAGGATAAATACCTACTATTGGAGGAAATGTACATGTTTCAAGCAAAATGATCTTCCAGTGGATCATGATTTTTAGAAACAAGAACAAAAATATTAATAATAAGTAATGTTATCCTACAGTAAGTATCTTCGACCTGCATGAGTAAAAAAGCAGTGCAGTATCCCACCATCACCAACCACTCACACTCACACTCACACTCACACACACACTCACACACACACACACACCAGACTCATTCTAATGTGGGTGAGGTGTCTTGCCAAAGGACACAACAACAGTATGGGTACTTTACAGCCGCCCCACTTTCGCGTTCCCAGAGGTCTCCCATCACCATAAACATAGCCCTTAACTCTTTAAGCGCACAAGGTTTTTTCTTAAGAGCCTCAATCTTATTTTGGTAATAACTTAAAAGTGAAAAGAGGCTTTAGTAATAGATACAACAATAAATGGGTAGCAAATGTGTAGGAATGAAGAGTACACATCTAATTAGCATATTCATACTTCATACGGTGGTGGCAATTGTGGACTTTCATGAAATACATATACTGTATACTTTTTACAGACAGACACAGATCACTAGGACACGAACACACAAACAGAACTTTGTACCACACTCGAAAGGTCAGAGAAAAAGTAAAACAGTGCAAATCATTGTACAACAGCGAGTTATAATGAATTTTGACACCCTGCTTGACACGATCAGCCATTTTAGTGCCACATATTGTCGATTTAAAGGTGCAGTAAGTGTTGTTAGCTTAGCCGTAGCACCAACTGGAAACCCCTCCCCCCTCCCCTCCCTCTCCACCAAACCAAACATCCAGCATTTTCTTTTCTTTGTCACAACAGGGAGAGTGGGCGGCAAACTGTTTCTGCTCAGCCCTTTTAGGTTTTAGAATATCCGATAACTCCGTGAGGTGCACTCACGAGAAACATGAAGAGGGTGAAGAGGGTAAACACATCCAAAATACAGTGGGGAAATAAAGTATTTAGTCAGCCACCGATTGTGCAAGGTCTCCCACTTAAAATAAGGACAGAGGTCTGTAATTTTCATTATAGGTTCACTTCAACTGTGAGAGACAGAATGTGCAATCCAGGAATTCACATTGTAGGATTTTTAAAGAATTTATTTGTAAATTATGGTGGAAAATAAATATTTGGTCAATAACACAAATTCAACTCAATGGAAGGAGGTTTTGGCTCAAAATCTCACAATACATGGCCCCATTCATTCTTTCCTTAACACGGATCAGTCGTCCTGTCCCCTTAGCAGAAAAACAGCCCCAAAGCAAGACGTTTCCAACCCCATGCTTCACAGTAGGTATGGTGTTCTTGGGATGCAACTCAGTATTCTTCTTCCTCCAAACATGACGAGTTGAGTTTATACCAAACAGTTGTACTTTGGTTTCATCTGACCACATGACATTCTCCCAATCCTCTGCTGTATCATCCATGTGCTCTCTGGCAAACTTCAGACGGGCCTGGACATGCACTGGCTTCAGCAGGGGGACACGTCTGGCACTGCAGGATTTGATTCCCTGTCGTCGTAGTGTGTTACTGATGGTAACCTTTGTTTCTTTGGTCCCAGCTCTCTGCAGATCATTCACCGGGTCCCCCCCGTGTGGTTCTGGGATTTTTGATCAACGTTCTCATGATCATTTTGACCCCACGGGATGAGATCTTGCGTGGAGCCCCAGATCCAGGGAGATTATCAGTGGTCTTGTATGTCTTCCATTTTCTGATAATTGCTCCCACAGTTGATTTGTTCACACCAAGCTGCTTGCCTATTGTAAATTCACTCTTCCCAGTCTGGTGCAGGTCTACAGTTCTTTTCCTGGTGTCCTTCGACAGCTCTTTGGTCTAGGCCATAGTGGAGTTTGGAGTCTGACTGTTTGAGGCTGTGGACAGGTGTCTTTTATACAGATGAGTTCAAACAGGTGCCATTAAAACAGGTAACGAGTGGAGGACAGAAGAGCTTCTTAAAGAAGAAGTTACAGGTCTGTGAGAGCCAGAGATCTTCCTTGTTTGAAGTGACCAAATACTTATTTTCCACCATAATTTACAACTAAATTCTTTAAAAATCCTACAATGTGAATTCCTGGATTTTATTTTCACATTCTTTCTCTCACAGTTGAAGTGTACCTACGATGAAAATTACAGACCTCTGTCATTATTTTAAGTGGAAGAACTTGCACAATCGGTGGCTGACAAAATACTTTTTTGCCCCACTGTATGTTGTATTAATTTTTGGAGACATCTGGTCAATTCCTTTACTATTTGAAAACACATGATAACTTGACTACTTTTAGGGTTTAGGGACATTTTCCCACAACATTTAAAAAAAAAATGCGCCTGGAAAAAATCACAGACTGAATCTTTAAGTCAACCGTGGCGCCGAGAGGGTTAATGCGTCCAGTTTCACCCCAGACTCCACCTCCCTGGTCCAGACCCAGCACTGACCTTCTCTGCGGTGGAGCGGCTGGAGGAGGCATGGCCCTGCTGCGCTTCTGGAGCCGTGAACGAGGCGGCGTCTTCGTAGCGGACGCAGCTCTTAAACGCCACGCTCCCATTGGCCGAGAGCAGCACTGAGCCTGGACTTAGCACACTGCATATGTTCCCTGAACCTGCAGGCCACAGTGCAACCGAAACAAAGGATTTAGTCATTAGGAAGCGTTTAAAGCAAAATCAGCTGAGAGTGGTCTTAGAAGGATGACCAGCAAAGTCAATCTGCTATCACCTAATGAGGAAGACGCTATTATTAACATTTCTGGATTTTGATCATCTGCTGCTTAAGGACCAATGTCTATATGTGTTTTTTTACCCTTGCATTTAGTGTGTTTGATTCTCTGATCTGTGTTGGCAAATCAAAGTTTTGTGAAGTCCTACGAGACGCAAAAACACATGGAATTGAATGCATTCTCTTACCCTTTTTGGGGATGTCAAGTAAGGCCTCTACGGTGGCCAGAAGGACACACCAGACCTCATCTTCCTCCAGCGGTGAACCCCGGGCCTCCAGCACCTCCGCCAGGGTCACGAAAGTACCCATCCTGTGGAACACATTAAGATAAAGAGATCTTATATCTGTCCCAATGTGAGGAAATGTCAGTGTTGCAGCAGCAGTTACAGAACAGTAGGAATTAGGAGCACACAGCACAAGATAAATGAAACTGTATACTGAGATAAAATAAATCCCTTACCTTACCATTGTAAAGACAAAAGTACAAAATCTCTAATCTATAATAAAGAAGCAAGTATAAAATCTCTAGCTTTAGCATAATAAAGAAGCTAGTATAAAATCTCTAGCTTTAGCATAATAAAGAAGCATGTGTAAAGTACTGTATATTCTAGCATTAATATATAGTAGTATGTTTACATCTGGACATGTTGGCATCACGGGGCTCTGGGACACAGTAACACACGTGTGGTTCTATAACTCATATTCTGATTTCTGGTACAATTAACGAATTAAAGGAGCACTAGGTACTTTTGAAGGGGAGGTGATATAGCATCTTAGCATCTGTCTTGTTTGGCAAAAAACCTCTACAGTAGAATTGATCAAATTAAATAGAGAGTTTATGCCATTTTCATTTAGCTGACACCCGGCCGCTGATTTGTGCTGAAATATTAAGGTTAGTGTCTATGGTTATAATGACGCACTGGAGGAAAGCCTAACAGGTCAGAAGGTGAAAAGTTAAGAGTGCCAATGACGATTATGATCTATATAAATAAACTTTACTTACTTACTTACTCACTTAAACTTTACTTATGGATTTAGACACAAGGACCTAAGAGGGAACAACCAGACTTCTGCTCATGATATTATTATATTATTGCTTTGGGAAGAGTTGAGCCCGACGTTCGAGCCTGTTCTGATTAAATATGTGTTTCAATAGTGATTCAGAAAACCTCAGAGCAACAAAAGAAAGTACGGATTAAAACATGATTTTCCTCATTTGTAGTATAATGATTACTATATACATATATATATATTTTATTTTTTTGGGAAAATTTTTTGTATAAAAGTTTTCAGTTCCAAACTATGAATTATAATAACTAACACATCTATTCACATACATACACATCTACACACATATATACATTTACACACCCATACGCATATATACACACCCCAAAATACGTACATATACACACTCCAAAATACACATATACTTACCTATACATACAGATTTTCCTAATTTTCTGCTAAACTGCTCAGGCTCTATCTGCTACAGAATCTAAACCTGTATTTCAATGACAAAATGGAAGAACTTAGCTTTACGTCCTAGCATTGTTACAAGTGACAATCGTCTACTGTATATTTGAGCAAATACTGAAAACATCCAAAGAAAACGATTTGAAAATAAGCTAGCTGGAGCCAATTTCCTTATAAGGGCAAATGTTCCGACCGCATGTTGCTAAGACGGTTGCTAAGGCAAGATGGAGTTTGGCGAGCGCTAAACCACAGATTCTTTCCACAAACGGTGACTGAGCTGGAGGAGTTTGCTTTTCAATGTAAGTTAGTTGGAGCCAGAGAGAGTTGGAGCTAAACTTGATGCATGAGCACTTCCCTATTGGGCTTCTCGGAGCTAGCAGGTTAGCATTGTCCGTCTATACACAGTCTGTATTGACGACAGTAAAAGACATTGGGTCGTGCTTTCTTAATCAGGTTAAGTATACCAATCTATTTGATACGGCACACTCAGAGCGATAACAATTAGCTTTAGCTTATGGAGGCGATTGTTCTGCCGTTAGCTTGTTGTCATGAATAATAGACAGATTGATAGAAATTGTGCCTTTCTTCAACGCTTTTCACTGTTTTGCACACACAATAGTTTGCATGTTTCAATTGTTTGAAAAGAAAAAAAATGTTGTATGACATGATTCAGTTTATTTGCCATTTGCAGTAAAACCATATTGGAGTACTCATGCAAAAGTCCCCAGTGTGCACCAGACAAGTACAGGAATAAAACACGCTAAAATTATAATAAACACAACGTAAAGTACATAATTTGTGTTTTGAAAAAAGTCAGCACGCACGTTTTAGCTAATTCTGTGCTATATTTGAGCGAAAATACCTTGCTTTTGGATATATGTTGTTTATTTAGTGTCTATAACCCGGTTTGTGGGAGCTCAGAAAGCAAAGATCTCTAGTTTTGATCGGAGGTTTAGTTAGCAGCTACATCAGAAGTGTCTACGGGAGTGGATTCTACCGCTCATACTCTGCACAAACACATTATTTACCACTGTGTGTGTACTGTATGTCCTACCTTATATCATCCGATATTCCAGGAGATCGCCTCTAAGTTCCCTTCAGACATCTGCTGTTCGGAACCTAATCTTTCCCCTCGTCGCCGCCATTCCTCCGCTGCTAGTGTCCGTCATGACCGCCGCCACCCCATTCCACGCTTTCATGACACAACAATCATCCCTTCAATAAACACCTGTTAGCTCTATAACATAATTTAGCCCTCGCTCAGCAGTAATGACGTGTCTTCCTCTCTGTTTTCCGTCATTTTCGACTATTTTTAGCCCAGCGCCCATAAGCACATAATTGGATTTGCCGGCCAGGCTAGCGGCGGAGGAAGCAAAGCAACGGAGTAAGCCATTGTAGGCGGTATTGTGCTAATCTGATGTCTCAAACGCGAGTGACTTAGTAATTGTCCAACTTTAGTCTACACCCCGGAGTGGATTAGTGCACAGTGGGGGGGCGGCAGAGTGGTTGGCAGTAGTAATAGATCTCGGAACAATTAGGGAAGTCTGGTGGTGGAAAAGTCTGGTCCGGTCCATGGAGTCAGACTCTCTCCCTGTCAGGGCATCTTTGTTATGTCATTATGGCCCTATTGTTTGTGACAGATCTTACGTCTCACGTTGGACCGAGGAATTTGCTTTGGCTAAAGGTGCAATCAAAATGAATGTGAGAATGTGCAATATAGAAGCGCATGTGTCCCCACTCGGGCGGCTTGTAGGGTAGTGGTTAGTGCTAGTGCCTCACATAGACTAAATATTAACGGATGTAGTCACGCCTACTGTGTCTACGCTGTTGAAATTAATGTGCAATCCATTCAACAGAACCATTCCCTGGACAGAACCATTCAACAGAACCATTCCCTGGACAGAACCATTCAACAGAACCATTCCCTGGACAGAACCATTCAACAGAACCATTCCCTGGACAGAACCATTCAACAGAACCATTCCCTGGACAGAACCATTCAAGAGAACCATTCGCTGGACAGAACCATTCAACAGAACCATTCCCTGGACAGAACCATTGGACAGAACCATTCAACAGAACCATTCCCGCTAAATGTTTTCTTCATTGGCGGGGCCTGGCAGAAAATAATTGAGAATCCCAGTGTAACAGTTTTTTACGTGATGTTATGATTGAAAACTGTGGCTCATGTTGTTCGTACTCAAGATAAGATAAGATTGCTTTATTTATCTCACAGAGGAGAAATTTACTCCCCCCTCCTCTGTGTGGCACCTCGTTATTGCACCTTTTAAAGTTCCTGCCGTTTTATTTTATCACTTTGTTTTTCTCCCAACGGGAATGTGAGGGCAGCAACTTAAATTGGTAGAGCAGAGTCATCTTTCTGATTAAAGGCACTATTCTCTCTCCGTGACCAAGAAGATGGAGCCAGATTTGAGAGAAACATGTTCGTTCCACAGAGGTGAAATTCCAGTGTTGCAACGCACAGTTTATGTGTGGATTATCAATGCGGGATGATGTTTGAGTTTTTCCAGATTTTTCAGGCAGAACAAAGTTAGGATATGCTTTTTATAGTCAATGTTTATACTCATGTATTTTAGCGAACCTGTTTAATGTTTAGAATGCTGGAAAATTCCTTGTATTCTCTCCTCCCGTCAAACCTATGAAGCTAAGCAGAGCAGGGCATGGTTAGTACTGCGATGGGAGACGTCAGGGAACACCAGGTGCCACGGTGGGGCGGCTGTGGCTGTATATTAACTCTATACTAAAATGAAATAACATTTATAGCTGTAGCATAATAAGGAAGCACATTTCAAAATCGCAGACTTCAGCATAATAAAGAAGCAATAATTAATTAATTATACAATCTCTAACTTCAGAAGAAATAATAAAGAGGAGGAGAATAAAAAAGAAGAAGGTACAACATACGGTATAGTCCACAAGATATATATATAGTTATATTTTTGTTGTGTATACGGCGGCTGAGTGGATAGTACCCTGTTCTCAGCAAGAAGATCCTGGATTTGCATCCCACAGGTTCTCTCTGAGTGGAGTTTGCATGTTCTCTTTCATGTACAAAAGGCAAAATCCTCCAGCTTCAGTAGTCCTGACCAAATGTCAAATGCGGTGGATGAATTGCTGGGTATAAATAGTGCACCTTTACCTTTACATCTGTACATTGCACCCTCATTACACTAACACTATAAAGATCAAAAACATTGAAGTTTATGAAGTCTCTCAATTCTTGTACTTTTCATATCCATCCATAATAAATAAATATGACAAATTGAATGTTAAAGCACAATCCTGTTTCATTTTTCTTTCTCTCTCGCGCGCGCACACACCACAACTGAATGGATTAACACACATAATAAATAATACATTACGGTTCTATACATTATTTTGTCATTTCCGTGCTTGACAATAAACAAATAAAAAGGCAATAATACAGCAACAAACAATCTATATATGTTTATAAACACATATAAAGACAAATATATATTGTTCAGTCACTAAACTCTGAAAACACTGACTGCTACAAAATAAAACGAAACGTTGCACAATCCCACTTCCGGTCTCCTCGCGCTGCTCCCGGAAGCACGCAGCGCTCTTGAACGCAGCCTGCTCCACATTGTGCAGCCGTAGGAAGCGCTCGATCAGACGACGTCGCTATGAAATGGCAGAAAGTGCTAGTGTCACGCCAGCTCTGAGATCCACCTGCATTCCAACCACAAATGTATTCCCGTCACATCCAGTAGCGCCGGCGTGAGGCCAAAACAACGTGGATTTCTCCCAGCGACAGGACACACACCCGGGCGACCACTGCTCCTGCTGCTGCCCGCTCCTGCAGCTTCGGTCTCGGTCTCAGTTTAACCAGAGGACAGCGGTGAGCCTGCACACTTTCTGGGTGGTTTCCCTCGCTTGTTTTGGCCTTTGGGATCGCCAGGTTTTGGGGCTGGGCGAGTGAGCTGCAAGGGTAAATACTAGAGACTTATTTTTCTTTGCAGAGCTGCAGGATTGTGTTGGAGCAAGCCTGGCCTACTGATGTGAAAATACATGGTTAGAGGGTTATAGACCATGGACCAGGCTGGGACCGTCACCTCTCCCTGTCAGACCACTGCTTTCACCCCAGTACATGTGGGAGGGGGGGATCCGTGCACAAAACGTGTTAGCTCCTTATGCACATGGAGGAAGAAGGTTACACGCCCATGTTTTGGTTGTTTAAATGGCAGGACACATTACTCTGCTAGTTTTATTAGCATTGCCGGTGTCATAGCTTGAGCTTGTGCTTCAACAGCGAGAAGGTCCTGGGTTCCATTCCAACTCCAGGCCTTTCTGTGGGGAGTTTGCATGCTCTCCCCGTGTCTGCTCCGGGTTTCCTCCTGATGCTCCGGTTTCCCCTACCACTAAAAATCATGCATACTTGGTATTAATGTAATCAGTGAGTGAATGAATGGGGTTGTTTGGGAGTTTGGATGCGCTGGTTTGTTCTGGGTCTCGCTTCCGTCATCAGTGTTTGGAGAGAATAGAAAATATCTGAACTCTCTGTAATTGTAAAGCGTTCTGGGTGACCTTGGGCTGTAAAATGCGTTATATAAATGCAGATACTATTTACGTACTACTAAAACTTGGATTTCTGTGTCTAATATTCTTTAATTCTGTGCTGGGTTGTCAATCACGGTTAAATGCTGGAATCAAGTTATTGTTTTGGAGACTTTTGAGCCTTTTTTATGCATGCATCTTGCGGCCACGGATCCATACAGCTGCAGTTTTGACTGATTCTGGCCTCCAAGGTATAGCTGCGCTGCATATTGCTTTCTTGCAAGTTTTGTTTGAAGAGAACGTGCCAAAGGGGAAAGGGAGCAGCCAGTCGGCCAATAAGTCAAAGAAATCTGACTCCTGCACCAAAATATTAAAGCTAAGCAATACAAAACACAGCTTTAAAATGCAGTGATAATGTTGTCTGGGCAAGGGGAGACAAAGTATCTCAAAGATTACACGAGATTAAAATCATACATAATCACAGTACATTAAAAGAGAAGATATAATCCTTCACTTGTAGCACAGATAAACTGAACTGTTTGAACATTCTCAGGAAAGAAGCCTGTCTCACATTTTCAGGTAGACCAAGATTTTTGCTGCTTAAATCTGAAATGCTTCCTCCCCATGTGTAGTTTTGATTATATAGAGATTTGTCTTGTGCTGATTACAGAATGAATGATTTCAGATACAGTAAAATCCCAATATTGAAGAAAAGAAGAATAAGCGAGATTGTGGCAGAGCTAATTTTCAGTGCAAATATGCTGTAAAGTGCAAACGTTTGTACAAAGTGCTACGGTGCTTCACAGCTGTTGGAATAAATATAGTTCCCAAACGTTTTGTCCTACATCCAAGAGTCCTGTGCGACAGTAGCTCCGTTGGTAGAGCATTGGCCTTTGAGCCAGAGGGTCGTGGGTTCGAGCCCGACTTTCACCATTGACTCCCACTGTCTGCTGTCGTTGTGTCCTTTGCAAGATACTTCACCATCATTGCCTAGAATGAGTCTGGTGTTTGTGTGAATTGTTGTGGTGGTCGGAGGGGCCGATGGCACAGACTGGTTGCCTCGCCTCTGTCAGTGTGCCCCAGGGCAGCTGTGGCTACAGTAGTTTATCACCACCGTGTTTGGAGTGAATGAATAATGACATGTGACGCGTCTTTGAGTGTCCAAAAAAGCGCTATATAAAACTGATTTATTATTATTATTATTACTTAAAACAAACCTGATATATTGTAGTGCCTAATTTTATATTTACCGTTTCTATCAGTATTCATGTGACCCAGACCTGGGCTCCTGGCGGCCTGGGGGCCACATCAGGCCTGTTTATGTGCGGCCTCCCGGACCCGTCCCAGTTGCTAATCTGTCTGCTGCATATTTAAATTCATTATTTGTCTTGGAGGCAAAAATCAATTCTGTTCACTATTGCCATATTTTGGCACACAATTAAAATGATACATTAGAGCAAAGTATTGCAACTTTTAATAAAATAATCAGTTTTACATCTGTGAATCCACAAGGTGCTGCTTGTGCTTTGTTTTTCATGCATTCCTTCAACAAGTTCAAATGAAAATGGCTTCATCACAACCGGTTCTACATGACACGTTCTGCTCTTCCCTCCTCAGTGTTGGCTTCAGTTCATTTGCAGAACATGATACATGTGACATTAGAGTTTTTTGTTTTCCTCAGTTTTTGTTTTGGCTTTGAATTACATGAGGAGCATGAATCCCAACAAATCGCAGAATCAATTCTTCAAACTTGCTGAATCACAATATGTTAAGAATCTCAATAATATTGTGGCCCAAACATTGCAATACTATAAAATAATCATTTTTGCTAGTTTAAACCACTAACAATTATGTCTGTGTGTTGTGATTTAGGGCTATACAGAAATACATTGAATTCCTCCACAGCAGTGTTTACCTCGGGACTTGACAAAGTTGTGGACTCTCCAACACAGATCAGAGAATCAAACAGGAAGTGCAACAATTAAAACTAGGGTGCCTTTCCACTTTATTGTCCCTGCAGGGATATTTGTCCTCTGCATTTGACCCATTCTGATGCCACTGAGGCTTACGTCAGGATCAGGATCAGAATCAGAATCATTTTTATTGCCACGTAAGTAACAGGAGGTCACAGACTAGGAAATTGCTTTGGCTCAGTGCAACAGTCAAAAAGAGATAATAAAAATAAGAATAAAAAACACTTCTAAAGAATAAATTTAAATTTAAAATAGAGTTACAGTTACTATTTACAATATACAAGTGCACATGGTGCACACAATGTAAGGTGACAGCAGTACAGTGAAGTAAAGTGACGTATGATGGGCAGTAAAGTGACTTGATAAAGGGCGGGGGGACAGGTTAAGAAGTGTTCAAGAGTCCAACAGCAGAGGGGAAGAAACTGTTCTTGTGGCGGGAGGTTCTAGTCCTGATGGACCGCAGCCTCCTGCCTGAGGGGAGTTGATGGAATAGTCCATGTGCAGGGTGAGAGGGGTCGGCTGTGATACGACCAGCCCGGCCTCGAGCTCGGGCGACGTACAGGTCCTGCAGCGATGGAAGGCTGCGGCCGATCACTTCCTCTGCAGAGCGCACAATGCGCTGGAGTGTCTGTTTGTCCCTGACTGTGGCTCCAGCGAACCACACGGTGACGGAGGAGGTGAGGATGAAGGGATCACCGCAGTAATAGCGCCCGGGAACCCATCTCCAGATGATACTCTGCTTGGTCAGGACCAGTGGGGGCGGTCCCAGCTCAAAAGTGACCAAAATGACGTGTGCTGACATGCTGCAATACCACCCCAGGCCGATGGGGGTGGACCCAGAAGAAGAATTAGCCAATGCTAACATATAGCATCTTCTTACATCTCGAAAACGTCTTTACAGGATGGTCCAAAAGTTGGCTCTTGGCCCCAAGCTCCGTTCCACATGTGTGTCAATGCTGAAGGGGGTGTTTTGGACCAGTCTAGTTTAGTTGCTGTGGACTTTTGAAGTCACTCGTTTAAACGAATGGGGCTCGTGCAACTGACATCTGCGCAGATGCGTTTTTTCACATTTTCCAGCCCCCGCGGCCATTTTGAAACTGCCCATAGACCGCGGAAGTTGTGGCCCATTAGTTAGAACGGCGGAGATAGGCGTGACTACGTCTGTTAATATTTACCGTCTATGGTCCGGACTGAAGTTGGAGGTTTCTACCTAGGTTTCTATGTGCATGTTTAAGTGGTAGGGGAACCCGAAGCCCCCAGAGGAAACTTGCGCAGACACAGGGAGAACATACAAACTCCACTCAGAAAGGCCCTGTTCGACCGGTATTTGAACCCAGGACCTTCTTGCTGAGAAGTGAACACAAGTATAGCCATAAAAATATCTAGACATCTTCATGGGAAAAGTGAAACTAATTTTATGATTCAGAATTGACTCTAATTGTTCATTCTTCACCCTTGTCTCTTTTATCGCTTTGTTTTTCTTCCAAACGGGAACGTAAGTGCAGCACAAGTTAAATTGGCAGAGACACTCAGAGATTTCTCAAAGTGACCTTTCTGATTAAATGCATGCCCTACTCTCTCTCTATTACCAAGACTTTTAATGGACTTGGCCTAAATGTTCTGGCATTTGGCTCGCTTCCTGCTACGGAGATTTTGATGGCGTGGTGTTGACAGGCGGCTATAATCGCACATGAGAGAAACTGACAATGGATTATACAGAGCAGAGCCAGGTGAAGATCCTGTTCCAAACCCATTTCTGATCGTATTATATTGTTTATCCATACCGTTTCATATCCTATAGAAATCGCAATTTTCTCCCACTGGGTTTTTTTAATTGTTCTTTGCCGATGAGGGTTGAAGGACAAAACTGATGATCCAGGACACTCCACATTCAGCAAGATTTATTTATGGACCAATGGCGCTATGTGTTTTTATCGGAAGACACGGTGGCACTTTCGCTTCTCAGCAAGAAGCTCCTGGGTTTGAATCCCGGTCTGAAACGGGATCTTTCTGAGTGGGGTTTGCATGTTCTTTCCGTGCCAGCGTAGGTTTCCTCCGGGTGCTCCGGTTTCCCATACCGCTATAAACATGTACAATAGGTCTGGCATGTGCCTCCTGTACTGGCCCCGCTCCCATCTCTGTGTGGAGAGAGAGACTAATGCCCAAAAATAACAATTGTAAAGTGCTTTGTGACTCTGGTCTGTGAAAAATCTGAGAAGCGCAATATAA